ACCTGGGCTCTACCAGACTTTCTGAGAGATCTAATGTCCCCCAGACTTGGCCTGGCATTGACCCACTGTCTTGTCAGCCTTTCACAGTTTCTAAGGTGATAGATACTAAATATTTTATCCAGGTTTGGGGTTGTTTTGTTTTATGCTGGGAATTGAACCCAGGGCCTGTGCATGTCAGGCAAACACTGCCACTGAGCTACATCCCCAGCGTTTTTCATTGCAGGGAGATGGTTGCTCCAGACAAACAAGCCTGTTTTTCACTGGAAAGTGTAATCTGCATAGCAACAGTGCTGACATCAGCTGTTGCATCTTGATTGGGCATACTGGCCAGTGTCTATCCTGATTGGTCAGTGCCTTTTTGCCCAGAGAGCATTGGCCAATACCAGCAAACTTGGGCTCTGGTTCAGTGTCCTCTACCGGTAGAAGGGAGAGAAATTCAGGCCAGTACTGCCCTAAGTGGGGAGTGTTATAGAAGACTCTCCTCCCCACCTGAGACAGCAAACCTAAGGGGCCATCCTATTAGGGTAGGAATGAATCCAAGTTTACCCCATTCCCCATCTTTCCCCAGACCTCAGGGAACCAAGAAAAACCGATTCTGATGCCAAGAGGAGCAAAACAAAAATGGGGAGAAATGGTTCCGGAGAAGTCAGAGGCTCAGTGATGGGGAGCACTGTGTGCAGTCAGTTAGCTTCCCTGGAGTAATGCCTGAACCTGACTCCTCCCTGGTTGGGTTCACCACATCCAAGACCTTGAAGAACCCCACGGGAACCTTCGGGGAGCAGCACACAGTTAAAGACAACCAGGAAGCTGCACACAATGACACACACCTGTAACCCCACCACTATGGGAGGCTGAGGCAGGTGGGCTGCAAATTCAAATCCTACCTGAGCAACTTAGTAAAACTATCTCAAAAAAGGCTGGAGATGTAGCTCAGTGTGAAGGTCCTAGGTTCAGTTCTGGGGTGTGGGGAGATCTCAAGAACACCAAGAAACTGTGCACCACAAGGCAGCAGATTGTAGGTCATCACCACCGGTCAGTGTCAGGCACTTGTCCCAACAGTGCCAGAATCCTGTAGCTGGGCAGGACCATAAGATCATTTATACTTCTTCTAAGAAGTGTCTATTCGTTTCAATTGGCCTTTTTTGATTGGGTCTTTTATTTGGGGGGGGGCTAATATTTTGAGTTCTTTATATATTGTAGATATTTATCCTCTGTCTGAGGAGTAGCTGGCAATTCTCTTTTCCCATTCTGTAGGCTGTCTTCATTCTGTTAGTTGTTTCTTTTGCTATGCAGCTTTTCAATTTGAAATATTTCCATTTATTGAGTTTTTTTGTTGTTGTTGTTGTTGTACAGGGGATCGAACTCAGGACCTTGCGCTTGCCGAGCAGGTGCTTCTGCAGCTGAGCTATATCTCCAGCCCCATTTATTGAGTCTTGATGCAATTTCTTGTGCAACTGAGGTTTTCTGTTCAGAAAGTCCTTTCCCATGCCTATGTCTTCAAGTTTTACCTACTTTATTTTCTAGTAGATTAGTGTTTGTTTTACTATGTCTTTGATTCATTTTATTTTAGTACATGGTGAGAGGTAGGGGTCTAAATTCAATCTCCTGTCTGTGAATAGCCAGTTTTCCCAGCACCATTTGAAAAAGAGTCTGTCTTTGCTTCAGCCTATATTTTTGGCCCCTTTGTCAAAGGTCAGTAGCTAGGTGTGGTAGCACACACCAGAAATCCCAGCATTCAAGAGGTTAAGGCAAGAGGATCACTGCAAGTTCAAGGCCAGCCTGGGCTATCTACGTAGTGAGTTCAAGGCCTGAACTACCTAGTAAGAGCCTGTCTCTTTTTTTTTTTTTTTTTTTTTTTTTTTGAGAGTCTCACTATGTAGTTCAGGCTGGCCTTGAACTCGTGCAGTCCTCCTGCCTCAGCCCCCTAAGTGCTGGGGTCATAGGCATGAGCCACCAAAAAAAGAGAGCTTGTCTCAAAAAAAAAAAAAAAAAAAATTGGATGGCTGAATGTGCCTGGGGCTATGTTTGCATGCTTTATTCTGTTCCATTGATCCACACTGTTTTTTGTGCCAGTACCATGCTGTTTTTATCACTATAGCTTTGGAATATAACTTGAAAATCTAGGATTGTCATGCCTCCTGTTTTGCTCTTATTGCCCAGGACTGCTCTTACTATTCTAGGTCTTTTCTGATCCCATGCGAATTTTCTTTTTGAGACAGGGTCTTGCTATGCAGTTTAGGCTGGACTTTAGCTCACTTTGTAACCCAGGCTGGTCTCAAACTCGCAACAATCCTCCTGCCTCAGCCTCATGAGTGCTGGGATTACAGGCGTGCACCACCATGTCTAGCTCCATATAAATTTTAGAATGTCTTTTTCTAATTCTATGAGGAATGCTGTTGGTATTTTGATAATGCATTGGGACTGCATTATCTATCAGTTGTGGTGGCATGGCCATTTTTACAATATTGGTTCCACCTATCCAGGTATAGTGGAATGTTTCCTTTTTCTGATGTCCTCTTCTATCTCCTTTATCAGACTACCATAGTTTTTGTTACAGAGGTCTCCCATTTTCTTTGGCAGCCTAATTCCTAAGTATTTTAATTTTTCTTGAAGCTACTATGAATGGTATTATTTTCCTAATTTATTTCTTGGTGGGTTCATTATTGCTGTATAGAAACACTTGATTTCTGTTTGTTGATTTTGTTTTTTTTATTTTGTAAAAAATGGTTTATCAACTCCATTTTTGTATAAAACACATGGGAGAAACCTAGCCAATTGCCACACAACTGTAACCACATGAAAAGTACTTTTTCAAACCTGGTGTCTAAGAACAGACCAATGTTTATGTCTACAGCACTGTCTATGCATCGCCTTTAAATGTTTTTAAAAATGCCACGTGTTCCCACTGACGTCTTCTGTCCAGGTGACAGTACAAGGACGGGGCAATGGAGGCCTGGTGACAACCCCAAGCAGCTTTCTGCTGTCTCTTCTTTCCAACCAGAGATTTGTGGATGTGAGGAATCACACACTGCCAGCTATAGTCGCCTTGATGAGGGAGTCCAACTCTTCATCTCCACGGATGGTGAGCTGCAAGTGACGTGGAGTGATGCACTTGACTCTGAGATCCTTCGACGCGTTCCCTGCTAGCTCCAGCACCTCGGCAGTGAGGTACTCCAGAATTGCGGCACTAGACAGCAGCAGCGGCACCCACCCGCCCATGGCTGGTGGTGCGCGTCTTCAGGTGTCTGTGGATGCGGCCCACAGGAAACTGCAGCCCAGCTCTCTGTGAGCGCGACACGGCCCTGGCCTTGTCCTCCCCACTGTCCTTGCCTGCTTTGCCTCAAGCCATATTTCGGCCGACTCTGCCTCCGCTCAGCCAGTTCACCGCCCATTGCCACCCTGCACTGTCGCTGCTGCTCTCTGTTGATTTTGTATCCTGCTGTGGTTTTGCTAATTAATGATGCTGAACATCCTTTCATATACCATGTCTTCTTCGGAAAAAAAGTCTTTGCTTATTTTTTAATCAATTATTGCATTTTTTCTTGCCACTGAGTTGTGTCAATTCCTTATACATTTGAGCATTAAAACTTCGTTAGATCTATGGCTTACAAATACACTCTCCTATTCCACTGACTGTATCTTCATTGTGTTGTTTTCTTAGCAGTGGAAATGCTGTTTAGATTGATGCATTCCACTGGCAGGCTGCTTCTGTAGTTGATGTCATGTCCAAAAAACCCAGTGCCAAGACCAATGTCAAGGAACTTTTTTCCCGTTTCTTTTCTTTGCTCCTGCTCGTTCTTTTTTCAGTAGTACTAGGGGTTGAAACCAGATCCTTATCACTGAAGATATACCAGATCTTTTTCATTTTTTTGAGACAGGGTCTTGCGAAGTCACTAAGTTGACCAATCTAGGATTTAACTTGTGATTTTCCTGCCTCAGCTTCCCAGAGTGCTGTAATGAAAGGCATGTGCCACCACTGTTTTTTTTAGAAGTTTCATGGTTCCCAACTTATTTTATGAGGCCAGCATTAGCCTCATACCAAAGTCAGATAAGGATACAACAAAAAGAAAATTACACGCCAATATCCCTGATGAACATAGATATAATAATCCGCAACTAAATATGAGCCAACAGAATTCAACAGCACATTAAAAGGACCATGGGGAATGATCAAGTGGAATTTATTTCTGGGACACAAGGACGGTTCAACACATACAAATCAGTAAACGTAATACACATGAACTGAGTGAAAAATAAAAATTACACAATCCTCTCAAGAGATGCAGAAAAAGCATGGAACCCCCATCACAATAAAAACACTCAACAAACTAGGTATAAAAGGAGTACACTCAATGTCCGTAAGGCCAAGCCCATAACTAACATCATACTTGACAGTAAAAAGCTGAAGTTTGTCCTATGAGATCAGGAGCAAGACGGGGTTCCCACTCACACCACTTCTGCACCATGACAGCGGAAATCACAGCGAGAGTGACTAACAGGAAAAAGCAAAGACATCAAACCAGAGAGGAGGAAAAATAAAATCTGCTGCTTTGAGATGACATGATTTTCTATACAGAAAACCCTGAAGACTCCACCAAAAGACTGATAGGATAAATGAATTCAGTAAATTTGCAGGACAAAAAAATAACGTAGAAAGATCAGAAAAGTTTCTATACACTAGTGACAAACTCTCTAAAAAGAAATGAAGAAAATGATTCCATTTCCACCAAGGAGACAGAGGAAGAGGACGTAAAAAGAACTAAGATGTGTTACGTACATGGACCAACTCCCCACAGTGAATGTAATCACTATGTACTGCAAACATATACTAATAAAAACTGAAATAACAATAAAAATATATAATTAAGAAAAAGTATCCCATCTATAATAGAATAAAAAACACAGTAGCGCATATCTGTAATCCCAGACACACAGGAGGCTGAGGCAGGAAGATCCCAAGTTTGACCCCAGCCTGGCCAACTTAGCAAGATCCTGCCTTAAAATAAAAAATACAAAGGGCTGGGGCTGCATTGCAGTGGTAGATTACCTGTGATTTCAATCCCCATTAACATACACACACACACACAAAGAAAAAAGAATAAAGTATTTAGGAATAAATTTAAGGAGATGAAAATCCTGCACATTGAAAATGCTGAGACATGGATGAAGGAAACCAATATGACCCAAATATATTAAAAATACCCTGAGTTCCAGGGTTGCGATCAGTGATGGTGTCAAAATGGCCATACTCTCCCAAGTGTCCCATGGACTCAATGTCATTTCTACCAAAATCTCAGTGTATTTTAACAGCAACAGAAAGAGCAACCCCAAAGTTCATATGGCAGTACAAAAGACCCCAAAAATAAAGCAATTCTGAGGAAGAAAAGCAGAAGCCGCAGGCATCATACTGCCTGACGTCACTGTCTACTATGGAGCTAGGGCAACTCTGTCAGTGTGGGATGAAGACAGACACATACAGCAGGAGGCAAGCAGGGAACCTTCTCTGAGGGGTCACAGATCCACCAAGGGGGCACACAGAGCACACATAGTGAGGTGAGGTGGGCTCCTCTGTGAACAGGAAGCGGGGAAGTTGACAGCCATGGGCAGAATAGAACCCTAACTTGGGCTTAAGCCACAAGCAAAATTGATTTGGAATGTTTTACATAGAAAATGAGGTTTTTTTTTAATAATTCGTCAAAATGTGAGGTTTTCTAATCTGTTGAGGGGTGTCCCTTGTGCAGCCAGTGCTGGCCGGAGCCCGAAGGCACACGGCTTCAGTAGCAGTCAGCCACGTTCTCCTCCAGCACGGCCACCGTGGCCAGCACATCTTGCAGGAGCGACTGGGGGCTCTTCTCCACGTGGTCGCTGCTCTCAGCCAGCCTGCTCTGGAGGCCCTTCAGGTCCATGGACCTCAAGGCAGCCAGCACCTCCTCGGGCTCCAGGTTGCCCAGGGGCTCGCCCTGCTCGCCCGCCTGCCACCTCTGTAGGGTGGCCTCCACAGATGTCACATCAGAGCTATCCCCAGGCTCCTGCAGGCCCCGGCAGGGAGCAGTCTTGTCCTTCAGAAAGAGGAGCAGGTCACAAGCCTTTTGGGCCACCGGTCGATCACAGTCAAACAAAGCACGAAAGACAAAGTCAAAGATGTGCAGCTGGCAGAGAGTCCGCAGCACCTCAGGGAGGGGGCTGGGAGGGGTGACCTTGGGCAGGGTTACCGCATAGGGACAGTTGGGGTTGGGCTGCCCCAGTGTCTGGGCCAGGAACACCTGCACCAGCTCTAGCCCCTGTGCCCGGACTTCCCAGTCCAGGTCCCGGCTCACCATCTGGAGCACGGTAGCTACAAACCACTGTGTGTCCCGGGTCACATCTGCATGGCTGTCCCTCAGCCACTCAGTGAAGACTCGAGCAACCGCCCTTCGCGGGAAGCCCTCTGAGTCCACGGACAGGATATGCAGGAGCTCCCCGACCAGGCCCTACGGACCGAGAGTGGGGAAGTTCGGTGGTCAGGGAGGAAGCAGCTTAGGGACATGAGCACACGGGGCTGGCTCACCAGCTTGGGCTGCATGCTGCTCAGCTCCGTCACGCATGTGCCTGGCACAAGCACCCTTCAGCCCTGTGCTCACTGCCCTGTAAATGGGTTCACAAAGTCCCTAGCACTTCCGAGGTCACTTCTGCCAGGACTAACCCCTAAGTAGCTTCTCTGGACTTGGCTGGCCACCCACCAACTGCACAAGCCACACACAGCCTCCCAGGGTTGGCATGTGGCTGGGGACCCTACCCTCTTGCACCCCTGCCTACCTGCTGGCCTTCTGGATGCCCAGAGCTTTCAGAGGCAGCCTGCAGGCCCTGGCTGGAGAGCTGCCCCATGGCGGTCACTGCGCTTGCACGGACGTAGCTCTCAGGGTCTCGGAGGAGCTGCCAGGTAAGCTTGGGTACCTCGGAAGCAAGGAGCACCTCCCTGAAGTCAGCCTCTCCTGAGCATCAAGGGGCAAAGGAGCTATGACCACCACTGCTAGGGCAGCTCAGGTGGCCAAAAAGACCTTCATCCCTGCTACCCACCTCCCCAGCAGGCGGTCAGATGCGTCAGGAACTCCAGCGCTGAGTCCCTCACCTCCCAGCAGGGGCTGCACAGGCGCTTCTGCAGCACAGGGAATAGCTCTGGGCCAGGAGGGGGTGGTCAGAGCAGTCTCTGGGCCACTTCCCCTTGCCCTCAGCCCCAGCTACCTCCACCCTATGGCTGTGCTCAGGGTACCCCACAAGGGGCCAGGGTTACCTTTGAGGAAGAGTGGGGCATGTGGGCCAAGGTTCAAACAGGTAGGGGGTGAGGGGGAGTCCAGCAGCCACCTGAGTGTGGCCTGAAAGGCCTTCTTCAGAACCTGCAGTGGGCAAGTGGGTAAATGGGCTACAAAGCAGGAGGGTGAGCTCTCCACCTGCCCCACCACCTCCCCAGGGGACAGCAGAGAGAGCCCTTGCCAGGTGCGCTGCCTACCCTGCACAAAGATGTAACAAGCTCTCTGGGGGTACCTCTCCCTTAAGGCTCAAGAATCCCCCACGCCCTTCCCGCAGGCCCCTATAGCATGTGGCACTAAGTCTATAATCAACAGAATGGGCCCGTTGTTAGGAATTTGGATCCCAAACATAGTGGCTCAATTCCCTTCTGGAACTCGCCACAGGATGAGTGGACTGCCCCCACTTACCACAGCACCACAAGTCCCCTCCCACATAAGTCCCCTGGACCTGGGCATCTGTCTGATTTCCAGGTCCACTTGAACTGGCAGTTCTGGGGCCCCAGGCGAAGGCCCCATTCCAAGTGGCCCATGTCAGAAGGGGTCTGGTTCTGCCTCCTAGAGCTCAGAGCCCCAAGCCTGTCCCTGTACCGTTGGGCTGGAGGCGGGGCTCTCGAGGGTCTCCAAGAGGACAGCGAACACCTGCGGCATCAGCTCCCAGGAGCCTGAGACACACACACAGATGAGTCACCCCAGAAGCCCACTCCCCACAGGAACTATGCAATCCAGCCTTGGGGAGGAGGGCAGGCGGCTGAGCACAAGGCCTCAAAGTTTCCAGAATCCTCCACACAGAGAAGGAAGGGGGCCGGCCCACCCAACACCGCAGTCACTCACTTGTTCCCTGAGACAGTGTCCCCAGGAAGTCAAGGGCTGCTCGCTGGACTCGAACGCAGCCTGCCAGGGCCCCACAGAGGCGGCCCCCCTCACTGGAGCTGGGGGCTGCCAAGCCATCACAGAGCTGCAGGACGATCACTGCGGCTTCCACTAGGAGTGTCTGGGGCCAGGGCAAGGGGCGCTGAGGCTGCAGGAGGCGGCGAGGGTCAGCAGAGGTCACAGTCCTGGTGTCTATCTGGCACAGGTGGGGCTATACCTACCAGCGGCTGCAGCTCCTCCAGATGGGCCAGGGTCTGGCACAGGAGCCCCACACAGGCCGACTTGGAGGACAGGAGTGTGTCCACCGTCATGGAGCCGCCCTCAGTGGTCTCATCCAGTAGGCCTGGAGGCCAAACAGGAACAGCTCCCTTGTGGTGGTCACTGCCCCAAGCACAGGCTAGGTCCCAAGTTCAGGGCAGTGGCACCTACACCCCAGCCACCTTCACTCTCAGTGGAAAACTGAGACCGCCAGAGACCTAGCTTCTACCCTCCCACACCATTCAGTGTACCTGGGGGTCCAGGGGCCTGAGCAGTGGCTCTCAGGATGCAGACCAGGGGCTGCAGGAGGATCTTGAAGGCCTGGGATTTCAGTGCCTGTGGACTGTGGACACAGGACACACATGAGGACTGCTGTGCTGGCCTGAGGCATGCTGGTTGCATTCCTAACACCTCCATCAAGTCTGGCGCAGATCAGCACAAGCGGGGGGCTAGACACCTCCTGAGAAGCACCTTCTATGTAGGGGGCCTTGCTGGTTGGTGAACAAGCCTGCTGAAGGCTCAGGACTCAGCCACAGTGTCCAGTCAAGGGCTTCTGGAGCTCAGGACGGGATGGTCACACTCACCCAGAAGGGATATGCCTGCTCAGGGTGAAAGGGAATTCTGGGTTCCCAAGAGCTGTGCCCAGGCATGCTTCATCTTGCCATCTATGCACAGTAATCTGAGATGACCTTTCCTTTTTTTGTGTGATCCTAGGGAATGAACCCAGGACCTTCATACCAACCTATATCTTTAACTCATCTTTAAGTTTTTATTTTGAGATAGAGTCTCCTATTAATTATTCAGGCTGGGCTCAAATTTATGAGGGCTGGGATTACAAGTAGAAGTGACCCTCTGGAGAGGTGCTAAGGGCACTTCTATTCCACAGACGTATGCCACCCAGGACCCTAGAAAGCCTTCCACATCCTTCTTCTCTCTAACCCATGGCCCACCCTGGGTATACAGGTACCCGTGCGGCTCTAGAACTCATGGCCATGGTCACCAGGAAGGGTCCAAAGGCTGAGGGCGGATTCTGGTTTCAACTTATCCCTGAGCAGAGCAGCTCCAAGAATAAGCTTTGTCTCTGGAGATCCCACGAAGCTTTTAAAATAATTATTTGGTCACTTAAGAAAGCCAGCCTGTACCAACACGTGGGCCTGCCCATTGCGCTGCCCAGCCTTGCCCGGCTTCTCTCCCCATAGTCTCCTGACAATAAAGGCCACACTCCCAGAGCCCCACCTGAGTCAAAACAACCTGATCATACCAGTGCTGAACTTTCAGGGTCCCTAAGGCCAGAGGCCCAGCTTGTGTGGGGCTCAGACAGCTCAGCATCCGGGCCATAGTCTCCCACAGGCCACAGTCTGCAGAAGCAAACACAGGAGAACTGCAGGAAGGACCCAAGAGAGAAAAATCACTTCGCTATCCCACCAAGGCCCCACCGTGACCAGCGGGGAAGCCATGGCCTCTGCTGGAAGTGCCCATTCTTGTGGATGGTTTTGCCCTGGGTGAGGGGGTCCTCCTCAGAACACTCCCATCAGGGCAGCCCTTTCAGGGGGCTGATTCCGTCTCTGTCTGCCAATGATGCACTCAGGCACGGCCACTGCTCTGAGACTTCCTGGGGTAATCACCACCCACCTTGGGCCCCCCACCGCCATGTCCCGGGGACCTGACCGGGCCACACTGAGGAGGAGGTCCACCAGCGAGTGTGCGGCTGGAATGGGGTCACTCTCCAGCAGGTGGGCTACCAGGGGACTCAGCTGCCCCCAGAGGACCTCGGTCCAGGGGCTGTGGCAGCGCCCAAAGGTGGTGGTGAGGACGTTCAGGGCCTGAGTGACTTGCGGGGCAGCTGTGGAACACAAGCACGCTTCCACATGGTCCACAATCTTCTGGGCGCAGGTGGGCCAGGCACTGCCCTGTGGGCTAGGGGACCCTGCGGCCTTGCCTTGCATGGACAAAGCCAGGACATGCACCAGGAGCTGACTGGCAGCAGAGGCCACAAACAGGCTGGAGTCTCCCTGCAGGGAGAAGAGGGCATCAAGCGCACCTGGGAACCAAAGAGGGGAAGGGTAAAATGGGGTCAACCCAAACTGAGGAGCAGAGAACCACTTTAACCACACCCCGTAGAGTCTCTGGGAAAAAGACAGATGTAAACAGCAGAAGGTACCCACAGGGACCCCAACCAGCCCACTCAGAAGCAGCCAGACCTGAGGATGAGTAGGCACCCCCACCCAGTTTCAAACCAAGGAAGCTCCTGATTCTTTCTAACTAGTTTAAAAGACTGACTCCCTATAGCCAGTGTGTGAGCAACTTAGTGAGCCCCCCAGCTCCCAGGGCCCAGCCTGGCAGGGACACGACCACCGCTGTGGTTATCACATGAGCACACCGCAGCGGCCTGGGCCGTGACCTCAGCCCCACAGCTGAGAAGACCTGGCCCTGCAGGTGCAGGGGCTTCCCGGGGTCCCACAGCAAGAAGCACTCACCACTGTCCCCCAGGAAGTGCAGGCCACTAGGGTGTCGTGCCAGAGATCTCAGGCCCCGGATCCAGCCACTGCGTACAGTGGGGACACTCCAGGCAGCCCAGCTGAGGGGTCCTGCCTCCCCAAAGAGCCCCAGCAACAATTGTCCCTGCTGGGAAGCAAAGAAAGGTGGCATCTGAGCATGTTTCTAGGATATGGGGCAGATGGGAAACAGGTCTGTTTCTCGGGACACAACTGTGCTTTGAGCAGGGGTGGCTTTCAGTGTCAGTGAGTAGGCCCTAGCCCTGCCAGGTCCGCCTCGCAGGCAAGAGTTTCAGGGAAAAAACTGAGTTTCAGGGACGGTCTTTCACTCCTGTAACTGTTGGCACGCCCCCCTTCACATATCCACCCTCCCTGTGACCTTCAAGGCTGCGCAATTCTGCATGCTTCCCCACGGCCTCTGAGCTGAGACTGCACGCACCTCCTTTCCAGATGTTTCCTACCTTGACGTTTTCCAACCTTCTGGATGCCCCACACTCCAAGTCAATCAGCCGTGCCCAACTCCCACAAGCATGAACCACCTCTGAACCTATTCAAACTGTTCCCAGCCCCAGCCCCCAGCCATTTCCCCCATGAAGTGCCTGCTGAGCACCACCTGCCAAGGACCTTGCTGAGTGTCATCACACTGCCCGGTCCTTATGGGGGAGTCCCATCACCACCAGATGTCGACAGCCTTGTAGTACCCCTGATCTTGACCGCCTGACAGAGCCCCCAACTGGCTCAGTCGTTCCCTGCACCTTGCCAGGCCTAACTAACTTCAGAAACGGCAGCCAGCACTGTGTCCAGTGTGGGCTAGGCCTCAGGTATCTGCATCAGCTACTGCCCAACCTCCTGGAAGGGAACCTGTCCCTTATTGCAGGCTCCAGGGGCACATCAGTGTCCCAGGATGCAGGCTCTGCCTTTGCAAAGCAGCTCCTGCCTCACATCCTTCTTGGTCCTTTCCTCTACATTCAACCCTGGCATGGTGCAGCTCATCACTACATAGCGTGCAGCCGCCCACCCCCAGCCAAAGGGTGCTGCTGCTGGTTGCTCAAAAGGGAGCCCCTTCCTTGAAGTCCCAACCTTCCTGGGTGCAACTCCTGGCCACAGGTGCACAGGTGCAGCTACCAGCCTCAGGTCCTGCCTTACACTCAGCTGATGCTGAGCAGCTGCCAAAGGCCTCAGGCTGTAAGGCCACTAGGTCAGGGTGGGTGGCAATGGCACCAGGAGGGGGCTGTGTGCCTTATCCTTAAACACAGCGGACCTACTACCCTTCAAGAGCAATGAAGCCCCATGCACTGCCAGCCTTAGGAGGAGACGGAAAAGCACAAGAAACTGCGGAAGGGGGAAATAGTGAGGGGGCTGGGTATGGCCCCGTGGTAGAGTGACTGCCCTGCTTGCCACGGGCTCCATTCTAGCACCACAAAAACAAAAGAATGCCTGCAATTGAAAATCCACTTTGGGGAACACATTGCTTTTCAGAATCCTGCATGGGTTCCCCAGCTCAGTGGCACCCCAGACTGGGCCCTGGATGTCGCTTCCTCAAGTGGAAGACCCTGGACCAGGAAGTGAGTCATAGAAGTCATTCTACAAACCCTGCAGTGCTCTTGCATGGACAGAGGCAGACCACAAGCAAGGGCAGCAGCAGTCATGCCCTGATGTGCACTTCATGGCAGCAGGGGTGCTCAGAATATTCTGGTAAGTCCATTCTGCACCAAATGGGGCTTGGCTCTTAAGAGTCTGCAGCTGCTAAATGGAGGTCACCCATGAAGCCACCTAATGTGGGGGATGTGCACCCCATCACTGCCCTCTCCCCATGACTCCAACACAACAGGGTCCCCAGGACTCTTGCCACATGGTGTGAGAGACGAGTTGTATCTTCACACTGCCTCAAGGGGCTCCAAAGAGCCAGGAGGAGCAACTGCTCCAGGCTGGCAAGGGCCAGGCAGGTTCTGTTGGGGATCAGTTTGTGGGACACAGTCAGGAGCCCTCCCGCCCAGGTCTGTGAGTTCATGGACCCCCATGGCAGCCTCTGACACAGGGCTCCTTCTCTGCCATGGGAAGAAACTGAGGACCAAGACCATACCACAGGACAGAGCTGAGAACTACTCCAGCTTTGCCCGATTGCTTGAAAATTCTCTCCTCTGCCACATTACTCCTGGTAAATGTTTCAAAGAGGACTGACATGCGGGTGAACACCTGGCAGTACTTGCCAGACCCCAGAGCAGGACACATCTGAACCCCAGGGACAGAGACAGCTCCAATGCCTCACAGATCTACCTTGCAGGGCACAGGCACGTGGGCGAGTTCAGGCTCACCTGGAGGTACTCAAAGCAGTCTTCCTGGGCTGCAAATGTTCCAGCCAGGCACAGAGAAAACGAGAGGACCCTGGGGCTCACGTCCTGTGGCTTCAGGTCCAGCACATGGGACAGCAGGTCCACCAGGCAAGGGTTCTCCTGCAGCAGCAGCAGGCTGGACCCTGCAGGGGCAGCCCAGCCCAGAGGAGAGTCACAGTGGTGCACATGAACCCACCTGACAGTGGGGAAATGTGCACCCCACCGCCGCACTCTCTCCATGTGACTCTAACATAGTACTGCATTCCCAGGGGGATGCCAGGCCCCTGTCCCTCAGGATGCTAGACTCCATAGTCCAACCAGGAAGAATATTTGCAACAAGTGAATCCTGACTTAATGCACAGGGTCAGGGGAACTAAAGAGATGATCGTGCAGCCACAGGTAAAGGCCATGGGGAAGAAGGACAGCACCCCACAACCCTAAGAAAGCATTTGGTCCCACTGACTGTGAAAGTGTAGGTACAGCAGTGACAGCAGTAATCCTAGCACTGAGCAAGGCAGAGGCAGGAGAATCAAAAGTTGGAGCCCAGCCTTAGTGAGAACCTATCCCAAAATAAAAAACAAAAGGAGTGAGGATGTGGCTCAGTGCAAAAGACCTAGGTTCGATCCCCAGTACCGTAATAAATAAATAAATAAATAGCAAAACCATTTTCATCTCACAGAGTTATTGCTGTCTTAAACAGACAGCGAAGAAAATGGATTTAGGCACTCATCTTCAGAATACATGGCTCAGTCTTCCCATGAGGTTGGGAGTGTCCCCGGGGAGGCCCTTGTGGGAAGGATGACCATATAGATGTGATCAGTCACTGGGAAGACAGCGAAGTGAAGGGAAGACAGTCAGAAACAGAACCAATAAAGACACGTAGGAGCCTAAGGAAGAACACAGTGAAAACTCAAAACACTCTAAAAATAAAGGCTATGAAAAATAAAGAGAGCTGCATGTTCTATTTTTTAAGAAACTAAAAAGAAATCATTGTTGAAGTGTTCTGAAATAAGACTGAATTAAAGTTCTAGATAGCAATGATGCAGAGGGTCAGGGGATCCAAAGTCAAAGGGCTCTGGATCTTAAACTTTTTGGGTTGAGAGATGCCAGTCAATTACAGATTCTTTAAAAAAGTCTAGTTTGAGTGTTAAGTAACAGTACATAGGGTGACCAATGGAAAACATAAGTGGGATGTGTAACTTCCAAACCAGAAGAGTTAAGACTGAAAAGAAAGAGAATTATCCAGCTGCCACAGGCAGAAAAGGAGCCAAGGTGGGGGGTGGGGGGCAAAATGTAAAACAATGTGGTAAATTAAGTTCCAAGGCAACCTCACACCTGTAATCCCAGCACTTGAGAGGCTGAGGCAGGAGGCTCACTGTAAGCCTGGACTACATAGTGAGTTCAAGGCCAGCCTGAACTGCATAGTGAGACCCTGTCTCAAAAGACAAAACAAAAAAGGCAACCTCACCAAATGACACATTCAATGTACCTGTTGAAGAGTTAAACACTTTCATCTAGCCAGTGAAATAAGTTAGAAATCAACAATAAAAAGACTAAATAACTCAGCCAGATGCAATGCAACATGCCTATAATCCAAGCACCCTGGGAGGCTGAGGCAGGAGGATCACAAATTCAAAACGAGCTTGGGCAAGTTAGCCATTTGGTGAAACCTTGTCTCAAAATAAAAAATTAGAAAAGGACTAGGGATATAGCTCAGTGCGAAGGCCCTAGGTTCAAGTCCCAGTACCCAAACAAAGATCCAGAAAAAAAACAAAAAACACATCTCTTAACCCCATTTAAAAAAAAAAAAAAAAAAGCCAGTGAGGTAAGTGACTGGAAAGTCCCTGGGTTCAAGCGCTAGTACTAGGGGGAAAAAATCTTGAGGATGCACCTCAAGTGATGCTATTATAGAGATCTGTACCCTTAAGTACAGAAACAAGAAAGATATAGATATTCAATTCAAAAGAGAGCTAAACAGCAGAGTAAATCAAAAGAAGGAAGTAATGAAAGTAGAAATAAACGATGTGGAAGCTATGTGAGGCAATTATCAGCCATGAAAGTAAACATTCAGATGCAAGAGTATGTACAAAGAAAGCCATTACGGCCCTATAAACAATGAAATGATGGTCTACTTGGATAGCACATAACACGTAGTGGATAAAATCAATGTGTTCCATGAGGAAAGCACCCACTCTAATAGTAAGTGAGAAAAAGCAAGACTCTAACTTGTATTTGTGGCACGGCCTTACAATTATAAGAAAAACATGGACTTATGGAAAAAAGGCTGGAAGAAAATAAAAATGATGGCAATTTAATTCTCCTCTTTACTCTTTTGTGTTGAATGTGCCCTCCCATCGGGTGTAGTGATGCATGCCTATAATCCTAGCACTCTGGGAGGCTGAGGCAGGAGGACTGCAAGTTCAAGCCCAGTGTGAACAATTTAGTGACTTAGTGAGACCCTATCTCAAAATGAAAAATAAAATAAAAAATGGGCTGGGGATGTAGCTCAATATAAAGGTCCTAGATACAATCTCCAGTACTGCAAAACACACACACACCAGAAATACATACTTCTTTCATAATCAGGAAGAAAACAAATGTGACTGAAGACAAAGTTTGTCTAAGCTCTCTGCAGCCACCAAGGGAACTGAATGAAGGATGACTAAACACTCTCCACTAACAGTTCTAAATCAGCCCCTCCGGGTCACTCTTCCAGCCTCAGCCTGCTTATCTTCCATCAGCCACAGAGTCTCTAAGAAGTGCGGGGAGGACTTCAGGTGGACAGGCCAGCCCTGGGCACCTGGTCCCATGCTCTGCATACATTCTCTGACCTCTGGACAACAGGTAAGAGCAGCACCACTGTCCTTACCAGCCTCGGTCACCGTTTTAAACCAGTCCAGCAGCTTCTCCAAACAGGTGTCATCTGCCACCGCCTGGCTGGGATCTGCCAGAACAGCACAGAGAGCCGGAAGAAGGCGGGAGCATTCGGGGTCCATGATGAGGCCACAGTTTTCTGCACAGGAAACATGAGAGAACCTCATTCCTGGTTCCAGACCCCATCTGCCCTCGTCACAGATAGCTCACGGTGCATCGATGGAACCTGGGCTTTGGTTCAGTGGAGCGGGGAACACAGATACGTGCTGATTTAGCTGCAGGTGGGCTAGAGTCGGGGGCTGGGGTTTGCGTTCTGCCTTGTGCGCCCAGTCCCTGGATCTGTTCCCGCAGGGTGAGCAGAGGCTGCATTAGACAATCAGCACCGGTCCCTCCAGGACCGGGGTGTACAGCAGTCCCGTGTCTGACCCAAAAGGGAGGGAGGGCTTCTGTCACCCTGCGTGGTTCTGTCCCAGTTGGGGCGTTCGCGTGCCTGTTTCCAGGAAGGCTATTCCCAGGTAAGAGTAGCCCTCCCGCGACTCCGCCTGTTTGCGGCTGCAGGCCCGCCCCGCGCCAGGCCCGAAGGTACGCAAGGAGCCAGACGTGCCGGCCACGGGCGGCGGGGACTGAACCTAGCCCTGCCACTCCCCGCCCGCGCCAGCCTGCCTGTACCCTGGGCCAAGTCCGGTCTTCACCCGTCCACAGCAGCCACCCAGACCACCACCAGCGCCCCACTCACCCCTCACCAGAGCCGTCCGGCGCTTCCTCCGCAGGTCCCGCCCCGCGCCGCCTCAAGCCCCGCCCCACGTCGCCGCGGCCCCGCCCCACGTCGTCTCAGGCCTCCATCCACGTGTCTCAGGACCCGCACCGCCTCTGCACCGCCCCAAAGCCTCCTGAAGCCCCGCCTCACTCAGAATGTACCACCGCCAGGGCCGGGGAGGAAGAGGTTAGGGACGTCGAGTGATGGGAAGCGTGAGAGTTCAGGTAGAGGACGCTCTGGTCGCCTCTGGAGTTAAGACTTGGAAAAAAGAGTTCAATCCCTGTAAAACTGAGAAAGGTACACCAAACCGGTCGCTCTGACCTGTCGCTCCCCACAGGACTCTCAGTGGTACCTCCACAAGACGCCAAGCGAAGAAGCGCCTCGGGGGCGGGGCTTCTAGGGGAAGAGGCGGGGCCATGACCTGCGGAGCCTCCTCGGCCCAGATAGGCGGAAGGAAGCTCTGTCAGGAAGAGGTTGGCTGGTCGGTGGGTGGGTCCTTTGGCCTTTGGGCTTAGCGTCTCCAAACGAAGTCCTCATCTCCGTGCCACAGGCACTCAAAGCCCGCAGATAAACAAGGTTCGTTTTCCTATAGTATCGATTTTACACTTTTACAGCAAGACTTTGAAGCAGATACCAATTTTATATAGAAAGCAGAATTTCTGTGGATATTATGATAGAAATGAGACTTTAATAACGTCGACGAGGGAAACACTGCACAGCTCCCTTCCCTAATCCTGCGGGGCCCTCTCCCAGGCAGGTATGACTCCTTGATTGAAAAACATTGAAACGCAGACAACTGCCCTGAACTTTGATTAATGGTAAGATGAGATGATAGTGAATGCTAATATTAACCTGATTGCGTGGCTGTGGGGAAAGTAAAACAAAATAACTCTGCTAGATGCTAAACTTCAAATATATGTGTGTGATCCTAGTGCAGCTCTGGGAGGGAGGATGCTATTCCTATCCCCTACGATGAGGAAACAGGCACAGAGAAGCTCATTAATACGGGCTCATAGCTACTGAGATGGCACAGCCTAGCTTGAACAGTTACCACAGTTATGAATACTATACTATACTATTACTATACTATACTGGTCCACAATTTTTTATCTCCCAACAGTGTCTGATGCAGCACCCCTTGATCTAATGCATTGATAGAACTACAGTGAAACATTAATATGCACACCAAGAGGAATAAGTAGACACTACAAATAAACACAGCTCTGCGATTTTCCTCCAGGAGATGAGGTTAAGACAGGTTTTGCCATCAAATTGAGGTAGAAGAAATAAAAGGTTAAAAGGCAGACAAGGAAGTCATAACTAAAAATTGTACTTTTAAGAAGAATGCAATTTTGGGGCCTCAATCGAAGTTACCTAAGGCAATCCATATCCACGTGCCCTCCGTTAAATTTAGGCTCCGTTCCTGCCAGACCCATCATACCCAAAGTTTCCAGGAATACTGACAGTGCATAAATTGGTTTAATTTAAAAAGAGCAGAAACCTGATCTAAGAGTTTGACAGAATCCAAAGAATGTTTAATTTTTTTTTTTTTTAAGCTGAGCTTTCTTTATACCTGTAAAATGGACTTCTACGCTTAGGGGGACCTTGTCTCAGGACTTCAATCCTCTCAATAGAAGCACAAATGTTCCCTCTTCCAGAAAATAAATGCTTCTCTCTTGAGGGCCCGCACTCTATTTCTTTGAGTGTGTAGCTTTTGATTTTTTTCTAATAAAACCTTTCCGTGCCTATGATTAGTCCTGAAAATTCTTTATACGCGAAGGGAGTCAGCGAACCTCCCGACAGCCTACAAAACGGGTTACCTCAGTTTCAGGAACCGCCTTGGACCCTATCTAATGGCAAAATGAATTGTGAAAGGTTTTCACAAATTTTTAAAACTCAGAATCATAGTGCCAGGAGTGGTGATGCACGCCTGTAATCCCAGCATTCGAGGCCAACCTAGACTACATAGCGAGTCTCTGTCTCAAAAAAAAGTCACAGGTAGACACTGTCTTCATCATTAAGGGAAAGGCAACGAAGCCGGGGTGAAGGGGGTGCACGGGATACAAGTTTTTAAGCAGGTGAGTGGCCTTGTGAGATTTGCCCTTTCTAAACAACTCTGGCAGCAAGCGTTTTTTTTTTTCCTTTTAGAATGCATCAGAGGGGCTGGGGATTTAGCTCAGCGGCACAGCGACTGCCTGGCAAGCGCAAGGTCGTGAGTTCGATTCCCGATACCGGAAGAAAAACAAAGACAAACAAAGAATGCATGAAAGAAGATGTAAATAAAACACCCAAACTTAGGACCAAGTTCTACCTGCCACTGGGGTGGAGGACCGAGACACTATGCAAACTGTCAGCACAGTGACTTCCGGGTCAGCCCCACGCCCCCCGAACCCCGCAATTCGGGGAATGTCTGCAATAGGCTCTTGGCAAGACGCTCCGCGCAAGCGCATTCCCACACTGCGCACGCGCAAACCAGCTGGACTCGAGGGGCGGGGTCACGGGGGCGGTGGCGCGGTTGCCATGGCAGCAAGGAGTCTGGCGCCAAGGCTAGGGACAGTCTGGCCGGCTGCGGACCTAGACGGCCGAGCCCCGCGCTGGGGCGGCCGGACAGCACCATAGCTATGAGTCTGGGAACGGCCTCGGAGACGGTAAGATGCCGCGCTCTCCCTCGCGCTCCGGGGTCGGGGATACGGGGCGGGGGACAGGAGGCCGCGATGCAGCGACTGCTGCCCGATTGTTACCGCACAAGGCCTCCAGCATGTCAGCCGCCGTCGCGCTCCGGCCTCCAGTTCCCGTCTGCGCTCGCGGAGCCGCCGCTTCCTGGGAGCCCTCCTGGACTGCGCCTCCCGCGAACCTGCTGCCGCGTCCCGTCGGTGAGGCGCGAAGGCCCCTGTTCGATGTCGGGGGCCTCTCGGAGGCGGGGTGCCGCTCGGTTCCCCACCTGGGCCATAGGCTGACAGCGAGGCGCGCCTCTGCGGAGCAAAGGCCTCCAGTGTGATGGAGACCAAATGGGGACGAGCTGTGTTCCGGTGGGGGAGGGCAAAGCAACCGGAGGGTAATAAGTTCATGGCAGTAATGAAATGTGACCCGGGAGGGCTGCTGTAGATCGGGGGCCCAGACGGCCTCTTTGAGTTGTTGCTCTCATTCACGGCTCACAAATACCGAAGAATACAGGCTGAGAAAGGCCTGGGGTATAGAAGCAGCAGGTGCAAAGGCCCTGGTATGGAACAGTGTGATATGCTCCAGCAATTGCTGGTATCAGGCTGGGCGAGAGGAGGGAAGGGAAGGTGGGTATGGGCCTGGTAACAGTGAAGCACCTTGAGTTTATTTTTTCCTGAAGGAAGCCAGTGGAATGTTGCACACCAGCCACAGGGCCCAGAGGGCTGTGTTGAGCTCACGGACGGTGAGGCTCTGTAATGCTGGTCAACTTGGAGCAGCTGCAGTCAGTACTTCTCCCTTGAGGGATCCAACTCCCATCTCTTCGGCAGGACCTGCCTGTCTGTACCCGCCCTGAGTTACTGACCCTTCACCCACCTCCCCTTCTCCCCCACCAAAGCCAGGGCCTTGTACATGTTAGGCAAGTGAGCTTCTCCAGCCCTCCTCCCACTGTAAGAAGATTTGTGTTCTGATTATGAAAGTAATTCATGCCCATTGTAGAAAATTTGAAAAATTATCCATAATGTGGTTACCTCCAGAAAGTCAGTTCACATTTGCTGTACTCTAATATTTTTCTGTACGTCTTTTCCCCATACATTTTTAAAAACTGAGATCATATTTATATTGTCTTGTAACCTTTGCCATCTACTTTTATGTTAGCACTTTCCATAGCCACATATTTTTAAAAACGTGATTTTAAAACTTCTAACCCTATTTTATTTATCCTTTTCCCTGCTTTTACTCTTTTGAGTTTTTTTTCTCCTAGAGACAGTGTTGCTATAATTTTCTGTGGGTATGTAATATGCATATCAGGCCCTGTCCTAAGTTCTGAGGACACAAAAGCAACTTAGGACCTGATGCCTTGGTCTCCAGGGATTCGGTCCCATGGAAGACTCAGCCGCAGCACAGGCAGCCTCGCTTGTGGTTATTTTGCTGAGCTCAGTTCTGTTTCCTTAAACCCAAAGGCACCTTTTGAAGGTAGAAATTGCCAAGTCCATCCGTTTCCTAGCCTGGGATCAGAGCACCTCTAGGTGAGCTTGTGAGGTTTTGGGAGCCCCTCTAGAGTACATGCAGGGTGCTCATCCACCTACCTGGCTGCCAGCAGCCCAGGGACTGCAGTGCACTCCCAGGAGGTAGAGTGCCAGAGGGCAGGATCACCGGTGGTTTGAGAGCCATACTTGTGAAGGGGCTTGTGGTGTCCGAGAAGGATGAACAGAGCACTCATGGGCTTTCGTGTCTGTCTGCTTCTGCTTTGCTCTCCAGACCCCTGCTCCCTGGCCTTGGCCTAATCTCATGTCACATGATAGGAGAGGCCTTGGCATCTGCCATCCACACAAGGAAAGCTGGCAAAGGTCCTGTCCGCTTGGAGCGTGGGCAGATCCTTGGCTCCCAACCATGCCTGCAGACTCCACTTCACTGTGAACACGGTCAGCTGTCTGTGTTTCCCTTTCATAAACTCCAGCAGACAGAGTTCTTAGAAGCTGAGGACTAAAACTGAGCGATACGTGGGGCCCAAGAGGCAGGCCTGTGGGCTTCGGCCTCCCAGGAAATCTTGCTGTTACCACTCTTCTCTGCAGATTAAAGCGTATTGGTGACGTTCATCTCTCTCCCACCTACATGAAATTGAGATTTCCAGATTCACCCATGACTGTCAGTCTCCTGTTTCATGCACAGACTGTGTTTGTTTATTACTGCTCTGAGGAATGGCCATTCGGCAGCAGAGTGAATAGTTGTCAGTTTTGATTCAGTCTGGGTAGCCAGGCCTTGTGCCTGATGTAACTTTTCAGGTTTTCTTTTAACACATGAGCCTTTTATTCACTGGAAATTATTTTGGTATCAGGTAAAAGGTAAGCATCTAACTTTTTTCTCCCCAAACAGCCAGCCAGTTATCTTAACTTCACATGGAGCAATTCATTATTATTTTTCTAAAACATCTTCGAAATTTTTCGGATGCTGGGGTTGGAACCCAGGGCTTCACACATGCTGGACAGGTGATCTACCGCTGAGCTACATTCTGAGGTATAAAACATCTTTTATTGAAATATGACTGTCAGGCTATACAATTGACTCAAAGTATGAAGCTCAATAGAGCTGCAGCTCAGTAATATAGTCATAGAACATCTTTTCATAGGTTAGTCATTTGTATATCTTCTTTGGAGAAATATATTTTAGACTCAGATTTTTTGCCCATTTTAAAAATTGGGTTGTGGGCTAGGGATGTAGCTCAATGGTAGAGCAGTTGCTTATCGTGTATAAGGACTGGGCTTACTCCTTAGCACTGAAAAAAATTAGCTTCTTTTTTTATTATTGAGTTGTAATGAGTTGTATGAGTTGTATGAGTTGTAATGAGTTGTAATGAGTTATTGAGTTGTAATGAGTTGTATTATGAGTTGTATGAGTTCTTTATACATTCTGCATACTAACTTGTTGCCAGATATATCATTTGCAAATAATCTCTACCATTCTGCGGTTTGTCTTTTACTTTCTTGCTGACCTCATGTCTTAGTTACTTTCTCGTTGTTGGGAGAAAATGCCTGACACCCACAAGTTAAAGGGGGAAAGGTTTATTTCAGCTCACAGTTTGTAGAGGTTTCGGTTGATAGTGAGCTGGCTCCACTGCAGGGCAGCATGGCAGGGAGAAAGAGCTCATGATGAGGCAGGCAAGAAGCAATGAGACTTCCTCTTTCCCTTTTTATTCCATACAGGCTGCAAGCCTATTGGTTGGTGCCACCCACACCCAGGGTGCGTTTTCTGTCTTCAAGTAAATCCATCACTCAAGTCTAGAGCTATGCCAAACCAATCAATGGGCTAACCAGTATCACACCCATTATCTAGTCACTGCCAAAAGCTCCACCTATGAACATGTGAGGCTTTGGGGAAGCATCTAGATTTAAGCCATAATACCTCATTATTAGTTTTTGTGGTTTTTGTTGTATATTGCTATTCTTTATAGAACAAAAAGCTTTTAATTATGGTACAGCTTTGATAGTTTACCTTTTTTTCTTTCATTCTTTTATTTTTTCTCTTTTTCATTTATTTTATATATATATCTATTATATATATGTATATATAATTTTTTTTTTGAGACAGGGTCTCACTATGTAATTCAGGCTGGCCTTGAGCTCACTTTGTAGCCCAGGCTGGCCTCAAACTTGCAATGATCCTCCTGCCTCAGCCTCCTGAACGCTGGGATTGTAGACATGTGCCACCATGCCCAGCTTCTTTCACTCTTTTAGAGTTACAGTGTTACCCAGTTTAAGAACTTAATTCCAGAATCATGGAAAGAATTAAATTCATGAACCAAGTCACCACTGTATATCTAAGAAATCATTCTGTGATCCAGGGTCATAGAGATTTGTATGTTTTCTGCTATAAGTTTCATGGTTCTAGGTCTTACATTTAATCTGGTGCATTTTGAGTAACTTCTTTTGTGTATACTATAAGGGAGAGATTTTTTTTTTTTTTTTTTTTTTTTTTTGTACCAGGAATGGAACTCAGGACCTTGCACTTGCCAGACAGGCGCTTCGGCCGCTGAGCTATATCCCCAGCCCGGGAGAGGTTCTTTTGCATGTGGCTGTCTGCTAGTCTCAGCACTGACTATCCCAGCACTACTCTTCTTTCCCCTGCATAGTGTTGGCTCCCTTTTCAAAAGTCAATTGACCATAAATGTAAGATTTTTCTTTCTGTACTCTCGGTTTCATTCCTTTGGCCTATATGTCCATTCTTACCCCAGTATCATTGTCTTGATTACTGTAATTTGTAGTAAGTTTGAAAGTTGGGGGCCAGGGATATAGCTTAGCAGCACAAGCGCCTGCCTGGCATGCGCAAGGTCCTGAGTTCAATTCCCGGTACCAAAAGAAAAAAAGAAAGTGGGAAGTATGAGTCCCCCTGCCTCAGCCTCCCAAGTGCTGAGATTACACGTGCACCACCCGGCTTATATATTTTTATTTTTTAATTTTTTTTGGTACCGGGAATCAAACTCAGGACCTTGCGCTTGCCAGGCAGACACTTATGCCACTGAACTATATCCCCGACCCTTAATTTTCTTAATTTCATTCTAGGTTTTTCATTGGCAATGCATACAACTGCATTAGTACAACTGTATTAATATGTCATATGACTGTTGTTTCTAGTTTATTTATTTATTTATTTTTGGTACTGGGAATCGAACTCAACCTCATGCTTGCCAGGCAGGTGTTGTGCCGCTGAGCTATATCCCCAGCCCTGTTGTTTCTTACAAACTTGAACTCATTTATTAACACCCCCCACCCCCAATATTGGGGATTGAACCCAGAGTCTTCACACTGAACTGTATCCCCAACCATTTTTAAATTTTGGGACAGGATCTCATTAAGTTGCCCACGGTGGACTTGATCTCACAGTCCCCCTGCCTCAGCCTCCCAGAGCACTGGGATTGTAGGTATATGCCACTATACCCAGCACATTTACATGGAATATCTTTCCATGTATTTAGCTCTTTAACTTCTTTCAGCAATGTTTTGTATTTTCCAATGTATAAAATACATTGTGATAATTTTTTAGTAGCTTCCCTAGTATTCTCTATATTATGGCCATGTTGTCTGTGAATAGATAGTGCTCATTTATTTTTCTCAGATTGTGCTGGCTAGGAGGACCAGTATAGGCTGAACTAAAGTAATGGGAAAAAGTACATTGCTGTCTCTTTTTTTCATATTAAGAGGAAAATATTCAGTCTTTCTCCTCTAAGTATGATGTTGCTCTGGTTTTTTATAGATGCCATAAGTGAGAAAATTCTCTTCATAGTTCTTTCAATATTTTTATCGTGAATGGGTGTTGGGTTTTATCAAATGAATTTTCTACAGTTTCTAAGATAATAATAACGGGGTCTTGCTTTTTTGAGATAATGATACTTTTTAGTCAAGATGGTGTTTTACATTGATTTTGGTATGTTAACCAACCTTACATTCATTTGTGGGATAAATCATACTTAGTCATGGTATATGATCCCCCTTGGTATAATTCTTTTTATATGTTGCCAGATTCCATTTGCTAGCATTTCGTTGAGGGATGTATATATGTATTTAAAAGGAATACTGATCTGTAGTTTTCTTTTTTTAACAGTTTCTGTATTTGGTTTGCTATCAGGGTAATGCTGACTTCAGATAGTGGTTTGGAAGGTTTTCCCTACTTTTCTAGTTTTTGGAAGAATTTGTGAAGGATTTTCCTTTTAGAATTTGATGGCATTCACTGATAGGACCGTGTGGCCCTGGGCCTTCTCTTAGTTCTATGCAGTCAGTAGTATTGTTCCCTCTTAGTCCATTTTTGGTAATTTAGTGTCTTTTTGTTGTTGTTGTTGTTGTCCCAGGAATCAAACTGGGGACCTTGTGCTTGCTAGGCAGGCGCTATACCCTGAGCTATGTCCCCAGCCCTGTAATTAATTTAGTGTCTTAACTCTTTGTTTCTGGTCAGTCTAGATAAATGTTTGTCAATTTTGTTGTTCTTTTGTTGATCAAGAACCAGTTTTGGGTTTTATTGATTTTTTTTTCCAACTCATTTAGTCTCTAACCTTTATTTCTCTTTCTACTTGCTGAGGGTTTACTTTTCTCTTTCTACTTCCCTGAAGTGGCAAGTTATTCACCTGAGATCCTTTCAGGTAGGTGTTTGCAACTACAAACGGCCCCTCCCTCTGGACTCAGCTTTCATCCTGAGGTGGAAGGTGAGGTTGTAGACCTGACATGACATCTTAAATGTAGACATTTACAGCTTCCCTTTGGGCCCAACTTTTCACCTGAGTATTTTCTAATTTACCTCCTTGGTTGTTTAGGAATGTATTGTTTAATTCCAACATTTGGGAGTTTACACTTTTTTTCTCTCATCTATTTCTCCTTTCCACTGTGGTCAGCGAACATATATTGGCATGATTTCTGTCTCAATATTTCTGTCTCTTTGGTCCTGTTTTATGGCCTATCATATGGTTTGTGTTTAATGTGCACTTTAGAAGACAGTGTATTCTGCTGTTCCTAGGTAGTGTTCTATGAATGTCTATGGGCTTATAGTGTTTTTCAAGTATTTTAATTCCTTATGGTTTTTTGTTGGTGCTGTTGCTTGTTCTTGCAGTAATAGGGATTGAACCCAAGGCCTTCACCTCACACACTGAGCTACATCCTCCATTCTTTTTTATTTTGAGACAGGGTCTTACTAAGTCCCTAAGTTGTCCAGGCTGAATTGAAACTTGCAGTCTTCCTGCCTTAACCTCCCAGAGTGCTGGAATTACAGGTTTTTGCCACCAGGCCTGACTTTCATCTGGTGATTTTATAATTTCCACCGATAATAGTCCCTACCTAAGTCACCGTGTTGACACATTGTCATTTAATTAGCTAAGCAAGGCCTCCTGTGGTTCTCTGAACACCTTGATGGTTGCTGCTCTACCTTCTTGCCTGCACCCTCTGCCATAGCAATGTGGTTCCAAACAAAAGCCTCGTCCTAATTGCCAGCATATGATGAATCATTACTCTGAAAGAAGCTTTAAATGTATTCTGCTGTCTCTCTTTTTAGCTTCAACCTGAGTTAATACAAGGACCTTCCTCTCTTTGGAAAGCGGTCTTCCTGCCTGAAGTCTGGCCCTAGTGTTAGTTGGTGGGACTTTCCTTGTATCCCCTCTGCCAGGGCAAAATCCCTGCCGTAAGAAGACAGGAAGGTTTGTGAGCCACGTGTCTTCTCATAGAATAACACATGAGCTAAGAAGGAGTTACAGTAGTTGTTTTCTTTCTTTCTCTCTCTTTGCGGTGCTGGGGCTGGAACTCAGCCTCCAACGCCATGAGTATGTTTTCTAAAATATGATTGGCCTGTTCTCGCCGACACATAGATTCACCATACTGTGATGCAAAGATGAATAAATGTCAGAATGTTTAAAACAGGATGAGCAATGAAATGTTTTGTCTAGAGCTCACTTTTTATGGAAGGTACACTGCACTTCTACAGGACACCGTGTGCTGGTTTGAGGACAGGAGCCCCACCAGCAGGACTTGCTGTTGGCCTTCTACGCTCCTCCCCTCTGGGAGGCTCGGCTGTCTGGAGACTCCTGTGTGTGGGGCCCGCTGGATTCTGTTTCAGTGTTATGCAGGCTGTGGGAGACTAAGCAGTGCCTTACAGTGACAGTGTTTCATCTCTTCCTGCAGGGAGATGACAGTCTGTCCGCAATCACCTTTGACTCTGACTTGGAGCCAGTAAGTATAATAGGGGCCCGCAGTTCCCGCTGAATGCTGCTTGGTGTCGGAAAGTTTCAGTCCCTTAGTTAGATTTGAAAATTGGTGATTATAATTTTAAAACTTTTTTCCAAAGAGAAATCCTGAGCAAGGTTCGTGGAGGCAGATGACTAGTTCCTGTCCTGAGCCTGGTGTTGGTCTGGACCCTGTCCCCAGCCCTGACACAGGAGGGAAGGGGGATGGAAGGGGAAGGTGCAAAGGGCCCAGCATGGCCTGGCCTGGCAGCAGGTCTGGGGGTGTTGGAAACTGGCCAGGAGGTCTGGCGGGGAGTGAGTGGTCCCCAGGCTGGCCCTTCTGGGTCAGCTACAAGCTGTGCTGTGTGCCAAAGGACGCCTGCCAATTGCTCTCTCAGTGAACAAGTGAAAAAAATGGGTCTCACTGCACCGGCACAACTGGCTCCGCCTTGGGCACCCTCTGCTGCCCTCTCCAGGGAAGGACTGTTCTCTGCTAAGTGACCTCAGTGAGAACATGGGCCCAACACAGGCTCATTCCTTGCTGGACTCTTCCTTCAGGGGCTTTGCAGGTGACTTACTTCCATGCTGGGCTCAGACAAAAGTGTGCCCCAGTGCTCCAGAGAAGCCCTGGGAGAAGACCCACATTTGTGTGGGATCTTCCTTCTGAGGCCCAGAGCGCAGGCCTGGTGTCCTGTGCTTCGCTGGCACTACCCATGTCCATGAGAGCACTGTGGTGCCCTCAGTCCCTAGCCACCTGCAAGCGAGCGCAGGTCTCAGTGAGCTCAGCCCGCTCTCGCCCCCTCTGTGAACACAGCAGGGCTTCTTGCTGCAGATAGAATGGGACATGGGGGGAAGAAGCTCAGCCTGCCCCTCACATCCCTTCTTCTTCCCCCCAGAAGACAAAGCGGAAAGGTTTCCACAGACCTCCTGCCACATCACCAAGTAAGTACAGCCGGGCCTCCCGTACCCTCTGATGCCCACACTCATCCTGGAGTGCTTCCAAAGGCAGCCCTTTTCTGCTGTCCTGGAGCCAGGTGGAGTTGGTGAGGGATGGCGGCAGCAGGACTACTTCCGTTTGCCCTATCCAGGGGCATTCTCAGGCTACCCTGTGGCTAGGCTCCTGAATGCGGCCCGGCCGCTGCCCTGCCCAGCCTCCCACAAGGCACAGGGCTTTGTGGCCTGTGTGGGGCGCTGTGCTGAGGCGTGGGCGTTCCAGGACAGGCGCTTTGTTCCTTGTGGGATCTCCCAGGTTTGTTCTGCTGCCGTGATTCTTCTCTTCCACACCCTCAGCAGGGTGTGGGCAGCTTTGTCCTATTCTTGGATGGCCTAGGACTCAGTGCCCATGGGAGAAGGCTGCTGAGATGGGGTTGATCCAGACGCCAGCAAGACCTCCTGATTCATCTCTGCTGTCACCTTGCTCTGAGCACAGCCAGTCTCAGTGGCACGATTGTGTTTACGGCACCATGAAATCCTAGACTGGCTTCCTTCTGCTCCCAAGACCCTGGCCTTCCCTGACCTTGCCCTCTGTATGTGTGTGTATGTGTTTTGCACACAGGTCATATTCTTCAGACATACTCATTGTGTACATGAGACTTGGAGAGAATACAGATGAGCTGTCTTACTGACACAACACGTACTCTGCTGTGAAGATTACGCAACACATATTATGAGTAATATACACCTTTCAAAGAAACCAAGGGCCAGGGCTGCAGCTCAGAGTAGCACACTTGCCCAGCACACACTAGGCCCTGGTTTCAATCCCCAGTAGGCAAAAGAATAAAGGGAAAAGGAAAGTTAAGTTCTTATTGAATGCCAAACATTCCAAGTGTTGGATATCAATAATCAAATTATTTTCCTCTTGAGTTTTGTCAACATCAGAATTGTTTTTCCTGGGATTTAGACCAGCCAGAGGCTGAGCCTGAGCAGGGTTAGGCACTTGACCTACAGTGCAGCCCAGCTGTCTCCCCACAGCCCAGGTGCCTGCTCAAAGACCCATGCCCCTCCTTGCAGCCCCCTGCGTCTCCTTGTGGAGAAAATCCTCAACCCCCCACACCAGTGGCCACATCTCAGTACCACCCCCAGCTCCCAGGCTGGTCACAGCCCCTTGAGACTTGTTCAGGATCTGTTTTTTCTGTCTGGATGTCAAGTGTGGGGACATCAGAGCCCACATCTGTCCCTTTTACTCAATAGATGTCTTGAATGCCTGCTTAGTTTGCACAGAGGTTTGCAGTTTCCAGAGTTCTGAAGCTCTTTGTCCTCCCAGCTGCTCTGAGCATCCTGCTCCTTCTATTAGATTCTTCAGGCACTATCAGACACCAGTGTGTTTCCGTCCTTTTTTCATTTTCCTTCTGTGCCCTGGCTTTTCTCCACATGCATACATGTTTTCCTGAGGAATCCTTCCAGCTCATTGATAAGTCCGTACACATGACAAGAGAAATGTGACTTATGCGCTCTTCTTCTCTCACACTGGGGATTGGACCCATGGCCTTTGCATGAGCCACATCCCAAGCCCTTAATTTATTTTGAGGCAGTTGTCTAGGCTGGGCTGCAACTTGTGATCCTCGTGCCTCGGCCTCCCAGAGTGCTGGGATGACAAGTGTGCGCCACCACGCCCAGATCATGGTCTCTTTCTGATCATTGATTTACTTTTAAGCGTTGAGAGTTTGCAAGACCTGCAGGACACCTGGAATCCTGGGGTGAGTGAAAGTGTACCCCAAGCCCGGGTAGCATCATTCCCTTCTTCTGAGTTAAATGGGAAACTTTCCATTAATTGTGACACCATGGGAAAAACTTAATAATTTAACAAATGTAAACATCAGGTAAATTTTCTGGACCTTCTACAGGTACAAATTTCATTGCTATTTAAAATATGTAAGGGCTGGGGATATAGCTCAGTGGCATAAGGGCCTGCCTGGCAAGCGCAAGGTCGTGAGTTCAATCCCCAGTACCGCAAAAAAGTAAAAAATAGGTAAGAATATTTTGTGGGTACCTTCATTTTTTGCATAAAATTGTCAGAGTTTATATAATTAAGAGGTGAAACCCCAGATAAAAAGAATTTTGAAATTTTTCTCATTTTAATGACAAAATCAATCGCTTCTCGGCCTTCTGGCTAAGATCAAGTGTAGTACCTGTTCTTATCAGTTTAATGACAAAAGAATGCTCTGGGAAATAGAATTTTTATCATTTATTCTAGACATTTTGTGTATTAAATTTTGAGTATTACCGCCATGTCACTATGTAGCACCATGGAAAATATTTATGTTAAAGGATACAGAATTATACCTTTGCTGTGGGTGTGACTATAAAAACTGGAGGGGGACATCAAATATAATATTTGTAGAATTATTACATATTTTAAATTTCCATTACTTGTTTATACTAAAAATTAAATGAGAAATGTAAATGTAAATGTGTATAGATTCACATACTTAATACATGTGTATAAAAGAATCATAAAGCTGAGCACGATGGCTTGCATCAGTCCCATCTATTCGGCAGGCTGAGACAGGAAGATCCCTTGAGCTCAGGAGCTCAAGGCCAGGCTATGCAATATAGCAAAACCCAATCCAAAAGTTTTTTCACATTAACTAAATAAAATATCTATATTAAAGAATTTTGCCAGTGTTTTTGTCTAGAGTCATCATAGCCTTTGAATATTTTGTTTTACCATGTTTGTCTCTAAAGCAGTCTGTTGAGGGAACATTGATGTTTTGCAACTCAAAAATCATGTGTTGTTGGCTTTTCAGAGTCACCTTATTACTCTAAACCAAGGAAAGTGGCCTCCTGGAGATCTGTGAGGACCCCAGGAAGCATGCCTCTGAGCAGCAGGATGTCCTTAACCCCACAGAAGCTGTGGCTGGGAACTTCAAAGCAAGGTGTGTGGCTGCCCCGTGGAGGCACCCGCTCCAGAGCAGAACGGTGGGAATGCCAGGGTGGGGCTTGAGGTGACAGAGGTTCTAACGTTGCCTGTTTGAGTGATGTTGTCTGTAATCTCCTCAGAGCCCCTGAGTACATGTGGCATAGTCTTCAAGCCCTAGGTAGGCGTGAGCTCCCTGGTTCCGCCCCGTGACGCCAGAACTGCCCTCGCCTCAGGCTATCTTGGCGCTGCACGGTGGCGTGTTGTGTGTTGGAGCAGCGCCTGCAGGAGCCACCTGTTAACGTTTTTAGGAGTTTCCTGGGCTGCACAGTGTCACATCAGCAACTGATATAGGGCATTGTGAGAATAGTTACACTGCAGAAATGGCCAGACATTACAAATCAGGGCTTCACTGATTTTTTTTTTGAGGCATGATTTCACTATTCAATTTAGGCTAGCCTTGAACTCACTTTGTAACCCAGGCTGGCCTCGAACTCGCAGTGATCCTCCTGCCTCAGCTCACTGACGTATTTTTGAGAGGCAAGGCGAAACATTCACCAGCACACTGGTGGCTGACTGCTGGTATCTCAGAAAGGTTGAGGAGAGGTAGTAAGTACCTCCCAGTGTGTTTGCTGTACCACTATATTCAATCCTTGTACATTCAAGCTAGAAAGCCTGCTCAGCCCCTGGAGCTCTAACCTCACCCCTTGAGCTCTACCCTCACCCCAGCAGCATCCCAGCTCCCTGACAGGCTGTGAGCATGGAGAGGTTCAGCCTTCGCTCTCCTGCCAGCAGGTGTGAGCGTGCCACTGTGACAGGAAGAAAGAACTCTGGATGGAGCTGGCCTTTGCCAGAGTGAGATTGCTGGCTTCATGTGGAAGCTCCGTCCCTGGGACATTTGGGAATGTCTTAAGGACAGTGTCTTGTAAAGGTCATTCTGCCCTCCTGGGAAGTGACTCATACAGCCAGGCACCCACTGTGCCGGGAAAGAAAACAAATTGCAGATAATAATACAAAGGCTGAATCCCACCAAAAGAAACTGTATGTTTTGCATTTCTGTCCACGTGTTCTGCTGGCCTCTCCTTTGGGCCTCTCCAAGGAAGGATAGTTTCATTTGTATTTCACTGTTCCTTCAGAGCTGATTTTACCAGTTAAGAGTTGTATTTTAGGCTTAAATAGTTTGGATTCCTAACATACTAGGTGTTACATTAAAACCACAGTAAAACTATCCTTCATTGGAATGGGTATTGATGCTGTGTGGATTTGTTGTCTTTGGTTTTCATTTTATTTGCTGTGCAAAAAACTAAGTATATCACATTCCCTGGGATTCCTTTTAGTCCTTTTACATAGTTAGACCAGAAGTTCTGTTAACTTCCAGGTTTTCTTTAAGACATAGCCAGGAATTCTTTTTCTTTTCAGTGGTCTCCTAAGAGGCTTATATATCGTCCTCTAGGTCACGTCCCTGGGACTGCCGTCTATAGAGAGAAAGAAGACATGTATGATGAGATTATTGAGTTGAAGAAGGTAATGTTCTACCAGCTTTTCATTGGCTTAGCAGCAGTAACCTTCCATAGCTGTGGGTTGCAAGTCAGTATCAGGGCAGCAGTACCCTTCTGTAACAGTGGACTGCACATGTGTATCAGTTCTGGGACAGTCTGCATGCAGTGGCTTGAGCATTGTGACACTGGAGTCTGTGCCCTAGCATCATGCCTTAGGAGCTGGGCCACCCTAGCTGCATGAAGGCCTGTTGCACCAGCTGCACAAAAGGCAGCAGAGTTTTAAGTAGCCCTGGCTATGTGCAATCACCGAAGTTTAGATTCTGTGCTCTCAGATAGTAGGATAGAGAGGACTGGGTAAGGATTCAAGTCACTTTGGAGTCCCTGCACCTTGGAATTTGGTGTTGTGATAAGGGCTTTGGTACAGGATCATAGCCTTCTATTCATGTTATCGCAACATTCCACACACCTGTCCCATCCAGCTCTTTAGACGCTCCTTGAGATGGATGGGCCAGTTGGTACAGCTATCACCTATACTTGAGACTTAGAGAGGTTAGTCTGTCCCAGGTTCAGCCAGTAGCAGAGCCAGGGTTCCGTCACTGCCTCCTAAGGCCAGTGCTCTATCCTAGAGACACTATGGTGTGATTGGTATTGAGAAATAGCATCAGCATCACTGGTATCACACTGGCTTCTCCTCCTCTTCTCTTCTTGTTTCTTCTCTTCTTTTCTTTCTTCTTTCTTCTTTCTTTCTGTACTGGGAATTGAACTTAGAGCCTTCACACTGAATTACAGTACATCCACAACCCTTTTTAAAAAAATTTTGAGAGAAATTCTCACTAAGTTGCCTAGTCTGGGCTCAAACTTGTGACTTTCCAGCCTCAGCCTCCAGAGTGCTGGGATTACAGATGTGTACCACCACACCCCGCTTCACACTGGTTCTTCATATACATATATATGTATATGTTTATGCCCCTGGAGAAATTATCCAGGGTGCTGTCCCTGCTGATAGACCTGCCATCCACCCAGTTGAGTTGCATCTGCAGGACTATTCAGGCAGGCACCAGAGCATAAGCAGGGCTTTGGCAGCCAGCAGGCCCAGGCTTGGTGAGGAGTCTGGAAACACCCAACCTGAGCAGCACCACCCAGGTAGGCTATTGTGAGAAGAGCGTTCTGCCCATGACAGCTGTGCAGCTGTGAGAGGGCTGCCAGGGAGGACGCACGTGCCCTGTCCTTGGTGTTTCCAGCAGAGGACAGGCTGTTCGTTAGGGCATCATAGACACCATTCCCTTTTAGTCAAGAATGGTACCAAACGGACCCTGAGAGCCCCCAAAACTGACTCATCACTGTAACAGTACTCTGGGAGGAATCCTCCAGAAATAGATCTCAGAGAAAATGGTACTGACCCTTTGTACTTGCTACTGTGGGTCTCTGGATAAAATCACCTGGATTCCAAATTAAAACAAAAGAGGCTAAGTTTTCAGTACTCTGTTCTTGGGGATCTTGGACATCAGCATTGTTTTATATGCAAGCAGTGCCTCAGTTTCTTGTTTAAAAATGGTGATGGGGGTTGAGGTGTACTTACTGATAGAGTAATTGCCTAGCATGTGTGAAGCCCTGGGTTCAAACCCTAGCAAAATAAACACAAAAAATCATACCAATTTGATAAGCCTGTGGTGAGGATGTCATAAAATAAATCCATGAAAATATTTCAGCGTAGTACCTGATATACAGTGATTGGCTTGCCTTTTTTTTTTTTGAGACAAGGTCTCACTATGTAGCCCAAGCTGGTCTCAGACTTACGGTGATCTTCTTGCCTAGCTCTCAAGTGCTAGGATTTCAGGCATGAGCCACCATCTTTGGCAATACTGGCCAGTTTTTTAAAACTGACTTGAAAAACAGATATTCCTCATTTCACAACCTACCCATGTAATGACATTTGGACGCACAGCACAGGAACATGAGCAGCAGTGGGCCGTATGGTGGCTTCTTCTATAGTACCATCCTATAATTTTTGCTGACTGTACTGTACAGTATAGTAATGTAGTTTTATATTCTGTTATACTGTATATTACAGTACTGCATGTAAGAGTTAAGCAAAAGAAGCAAAGTCATCAAGTTGGAGTTTCCTTTGACCACTTCTTTGTTCTGAATACCGTAATGTACATACCATATACAGTTCCTCATTTAGCGACCAGTCCAGTTAATGACCTAATTGCAGGACCATGTCTTGGTCGTTAAACAAGAGCTATCTGTAATTAGACTCAAGAACATTGTGAAAGTAGTATAGAGGGGTCCTGGGTGCCCTTCACCCCACCTCCCTCAGTGCACAATGTCACCAGAAAACCTTCCTTGGTACAGTGTGTTCGTGAGGTTCTGTCACAGCACAGGTGTAGACTCGTACATCACCATGCTGTGGAAAAACAGCTGCCCAACAGCCCACAGAAATCCCCTCACTCCTCCCGCTTCTGTGTGGCCAGTCTCTAAAGTATAACTGGGATCACAAAGCATTTGGCCTTTCCAGACCGTTGTCCCCTCAGTGCAGCCCTGGAGGCCCCTGGAGGTGCTAGTGGGCCGATGTCCCTTTCCACTTGGCATGACCCTCACTGCGTCCTTCTCATAGTGACAGGCTGTGACATTTTTTATATACTGTCATTTTGGCTCAGGTCAGTGTTTTATTTTTTGTTTTTTGTTTGTTTGTTTGTTTTTTGAGACAGGGTCTTGCTATGCAGTTCAGGCTGGCCTTGAGCTCACCTTGTAGCCCAGGCTGGTCTCAAACTTGCAATGATCCTCCTGCCTCAGCCTCCCAAGTGCTGGGATGACAGGCGTGCACCACTGTGACTGGCTTGGTCAGTGTATTTTTTTAAGACTTTCTCTTGAAACTCCCTGAGATGTGATCAGATTATTTGGAGCTGTGTAGTTTAGTGTCCAGTGTTTGAAGGTTTGCCTGTGATTTTTTTGTTGTGGTTTTCAGTGTGAGTGTATCATGGCCATACAACACTCTGTTTTGTTCTTCTGCACGTATCGAGGCTCCCTCCTGGTTCTGATGTAGCCCAGCTGCTTACAAGTACTGGGTCCCTGTTGGTAGCCACAGTGTTGGACAGTGCTATGAGCCCTCCTCTGACCTTGCTGGTGTTTTCCCATGTTTTTGTTTTTTGGGTTTTTTTTTTTTTCTTGTCTTTTTAAGACAGGGTTTTACTATGCAGGTCAGGCTGGCCTTGAACTCCCTTGTAGCCCCACTGGCCTCAAACTCACAGTGATCCTCCTGCCACAACCTCCCGAGTGCTGGGATAACAGGCGTGCGCCACCACGTCCAGCCACCCTATGTTTTGTCACCTATGGAGAGAGGGTATCAAGGTTCTGCTACCATCATGAGTTTGTCCATTTCCCTCAGAGGATATGAGATTCTGCCCCATGGGCTGCTGGCTTCTAAGAGGTTTGGAAGGGCTCTTTTTCCTAGGTGGATGGATTTTTTTTTTTAAACTGGTGCTGGGGATTGTACTCAGGGCCTTCATATTGAGCTACATCTTCAGCCATTTTTATTTTGAGGAAGGATCTTGCTAAATTGCTAAGGTGCCCAGGCTGAGCTCAAGCTTGTGATCCTCCTACCTTAGGCTTTCAGAGTGCTGGGATTACAGGTATAGCCCACCATGCCTTGCTGTGGATGGATTTTAAAAAAAAAAACATTATATAATGTCCCTCCCTCTGGTACCTTTCTATTCTCCAAGGTCTACTTCATCTGATAGTAACTTACCCATTCACACTTTATTTTAATTAATGTTTACATGGTATATCTTGTTCCATTCTGTTCCTTTCAACATACCCTTTCATCATGTTTGAAACAAGTTTCTTATAGATAGCATATATCTACTTTGCCAATCTTTTAATTGGTTTGTTTAGATCATTTATAAACAACATACTTGTTGATATGTTAGGCTATGTCTCCCATTTTCTGTTCTTCCTGTATTACATTTCTCCTTTATTTTTCTGCCTCCTGTGACTTACTTGAGCATTGTTTAGAATTTCATTTTTGTTTAGTCAAAGTGTTTTTCAGTGTGTCTCTTTGTACAAGGGATGACAAAAAGATGGAGAATGTTACGATAAGACATGAAAGAGGATTTCTACAGCTGCTTCAGAAAGCGCAAGCATGATGGGATAAGTGTGGTTGAAGTGAGGGGAGAGTATTTTGAGATATATTAATGGCAATATGTCCTTTACAGTAATTTTAAAAATCTAAATATTCACCCTGTTTTTCCATCATACCTCATACATTGTGTGGTTACACACATGGGCATGTGCGAGTGGTGCTTTCCTTCTGCAGTCATTACACACACAGAAAAGTGACGTGGATCTAATGAGAACAAAACTCCGGCGCATGGAAGAGGAAAATACCAGAAAGGACCGGCAGATAGAACAGCTCTTGGACCCAGGACGAGTAAGCACCTGACCCCAAGTGGGCTTCGGCCTGTGGGCTCCTGTGGTGGCGGGGCGCAGGCTGAAGCACATGGCCCTCACATCTTGATCTGCTCCCACAGGGCCCAGACTTCGTTCGCACTCTGGCGGAGAAAAGGCCCGACACCGGTTGGGTGAGTAGTCTCCAGCTCCAGAAAGCCCTCCTTTGACTGCAGTTAGAGGCAGCCACATGCTGAAGAGATGCCATCTTCTCAGAACACTTGCATGGGAGGACAGGAAAGAAATGGGCATAGAACTTTCTAGAAGCATCCTCCACAAAGCTCTAGGGATCTCAGAAAAATGCTTCAGGCTTGGTCAAGGCTCATGGGATGGGGCCGGTAGGCTTACACCAGGCAGGCCAGAAAATAAACTGTAGAGAAAACAGTCACAATGGTCACCTTCCCCATCACATCCCAAAACATACCTGTGCTTTACATGGGTTTCTGAGCCAAAACACAGAAACCAAGAAGCAGTAGAACAAAGCACTTAAAATAGATGTAAACACCTTTCATGTTGCATAATGATAATATTAAACAAATTGAAACGGAATAAGGGGATGTGGAGACGTTCTTTGGTTAATGTTCCTGCAGCAAACTAACATTTGGAGAAAATGCATCACAGAGCTAAAATTAGAATGGATACAATTTTGAGATCATTGAATACAAAAAAAAATGATGTGATTAATGGATTTGGTAACATAAAATTGAAATTTGTGTAAAAACCCAGAAGACTACATAAAAGCAGACAATATAATGAGTGGACGGGAGGATATTATTGACCAATACATTGTTTTCTACCCCAGAATATGCAAAAAGCTCTATATAAATCTGTAAGAAACAAATTATGCTCTGAAATATAACAATATATATGTCATATAGAAATATCATCTACTTAACATAAATGATTAAAGCCCAGTTCTGTGGGTAGGATAGCACAGATCAATACTTAATTCACAAGTCTGTAATCCCAGCACTGGGAGGCTGAGGCAGGAGGATCGTTGTGAGCTTAAAGCCAGCCTGAACTGCATAGCGAGACTCTGTCTCAAAAAACAAAAACAAAATAAAAATACTTAATTCACAAATGTTTGTGAATGAATTAATGTGTTTCACAAGAAAAAAAAAACCAGATGACAGCAAATTGTTACATAATTATTCATTCTACACACATACATGATTTCATTTGATTTCTTGTAATAGAAGGACTCCAGTCCCCATTTTTTAAAATCATGAAACTGAGGCAAGCAGTTTTCCCGACGTGGGACCCCAGGTGCTCAGACCTGGAAGGCAGGAATGGTATCTCTTGGCCCTGTCATCCTACTAGAACCTCATCCTTGAGGGAAGAAATGATTTTAAATTACTCCGAATAAAGCCGCACACCATAAAGAAACACATGATCAAAGCATCCGCCTAGTGACCTGTCGTCATGCCTGCCCCTGTCTGGCAGTTTCCTGTTAGGACTGTCTCTCAGGAATGTAATCCAGTGTGATTTGCACAAGGATGTTTCTCTCTGCCCAAGTTGGAGGGAAATGTGTTCACATCTAGTTAAAATCTAGCTGGATGCAGTGGCCTATGCACCCTGGGAGGCAAGAGGATCAGAAGTTTGCATCCAGCCTAAGCAATGTAGTAACTGAGTCCCTCAAAATAAAAAATAGGAAAGGTCTGAGGATGTAGCTCAGTACTGCCCCCAAAAATTATATATTCAAAAGAAAAGGATATTCTTTAAGGAACGTAGGGCATGTGTGATCTCCCAAAAGGATACGTTAGCAGAGAGGGAAGAAAGGAGGCTGGAAGTGGGGGGCGGCCCCTCCTTCCCAGGGAGGTGGGGCACTGGAGCCCCTTCAGGCCTCTGCTCTGTCAGTCCTAACTCCAAGTGCAGACTGACTGAGTTGCCCTGAGGTGGGAGACAGTGAAGGTCAGTGGTTTTTATTTCTAGGATTGTGATGGGTTCCATTATCTAAAACAAGTGATGCTAGGTCCTGCCTGTCCTCCTGAGTACAAACCTGCCTGCCCCAGTGGGCGTCCTGCCCCCCTTGCCCCTCACCCGGCCTCATGGAGTGAGCAAGTCCCAGCCCTTTAATCATCCCCAGGCCTGTGGCCTGGAAGAGAGGGCAGCAAACGGTTGAGAAGGGAAGGACGGAGGCTGCGGAGGTGCCCACAGGGAAGCAGCACTGAGGGCTGTGGGGCTGGGCGGAGGTGGCTGAGGTGGTGGCCTTCTGTGGTAGGTCATCAATGGGCTGAGACAGAGGATCTTCCGGCTGGAGCAGCAGTGCAAGGAGAAGGACAGTGCTATCAAGTACGGAGCTGCTGCCTGGAGGTCTCAGTGGGAGGGTTTAGGGCCCAGGCCAGCTGGGAGGGGCCGCTCCTCCCAGTTAACACTCCCTTTCTGCTCTGGTGCTTGTCGGGCCTCTGCTTCTCCCAGCCAACCTCTGTCCATAATGTCCCTGTTCCCACCCATAGCGAAGGGAAGTATTACCCAGCTGTCTGTCTGTCTCTCTCCTGTTTTTCTTTTTAATCTGCATTTCCTTTAAACATCATCAGGGAAAAGTATTTCCCTTCACCTTTTTCTTGTTATACTTAAAGAATCTTTTTTTTCTTAGTATTTTGCAGGCCACTTTCTATTTCCAATGTGAATTTTCTAGGGCTTGGCGCAAGCAAGCCCTACGTACCCAGACGTTGCTCTGGGCTGCCTCTCGTGTGGTTTTGGTGATGTTCCCCATACTTTACCTGACTGTCTCTGTGCCTGTCTTGTTAGTGCAAAGGGATAGTCTTGCTCAGCTGTACTTAAGTTTATTTAAGGAAAACTTGTCTGGGCCTCATATCTCTTACGCAATAGTTCCCCTTCCCATTTGTTTCTTGCTGAAATTTAGCAACCTAAAATATTTGTGGTTATTTGCTAATTCCTGGAGTGTTTCAGAATGCTGAGCTTCTTTCCTCTCAGTGCCTTTTGCCTGAAGCCTGTGATAGACAGAGAACAAGGTGACACAGTGACAGGCTGAAGGGAGACAGTGATTCTCCCCATCTGCTCCCCAAAGATGACGTATTAGCTCTGAAGCTCTAAGGTTGGGGCTGCACCATTACTCCAACTGTTTAAAAACAGGGTCTTTGGAGAAGAATGTCTTATGGAGCCTTGGGAAATGGCTGGTCTCACCCGGGAAGGACCCTTGCTGGTGTGAGGAATCCCCCCATCAGTTTGGAAACGAGCCATTTATTCAAGGCCAAAGCCAACAGGGCTGGCTCAGGCCAGTCTTCTCTCACCGGGTCCCTTTCCAAAGCCGGCCCAGCTTGGCTGTTTTGTGAATTGTGCTTTCCGTGGCTCTCCCCTGGGCGTGCTGACATTGCCCTGCTGACTCTGAACCTGCATCCCCAGCAAACTGCAGATGGACATGAAGACCACCAACCTGGAGGAGATGAGGATTGCCATGGAGACCTACTACGAGGAGGTGTGTGTGGAGGAACAGGTGGTTGGGGGCAGAAGAGGCGACCCTGCTGCTGCCCAGGGTTGAGCTGAGGCCGGGGCTGGCCCACACCAGTGCTCCTGCTCAGCTTGACTGAGAAGGAGTTGCTGCAGATTCTCCTGACTCCACCATGGGACAGGGATCAGGACTGCCCGCAGCGCTCAGGGCAGGACCACTCACATGCTCGTTTGTATCTTTAATGCTTTCTAATTTGGTGCTTGCAGATCCATCGTCTCCAGACTCTCTTGGCAAGTTCCGAAACCACAGGAAAGAAGTATGCTACCATTGGTACCACGTTGTCCTTGTGTTACTGAGCGACTCTGAAATCAGGGTACCCTTGTCCCACTTGGGAAGGGCATCTCCTGCCCTCATGTGGCCACAGAGCCAGCACCACACCTGTGTGCTGATGAGTGGTCTTGTTTGCACGCTGGTGCTCACCCCATAACTGCCACACACTCAGTGCTACATGCATTAGTGATCCCTGCTACACAGCCCCCTCCAGCTCAGGACTGGAAATGCTGGCTTTCAACGCAGATCTACCTTACGAGAAAGATATGTGCTACAAATCCATTTTGCTGCTTAAACTTTTCCCAAACCAGTTTGTTAGAGGCATCGAGGTTCTCCTTATCACATAGATCCCCCATCCTTTTCCAACGGGCTTTCATTAAATTATGAGAGGATGGTCCCCTACCATAGACATGGCCACACCTCTGGTCTCTGCAGCAGGCCGCTGGCACTTGGGGGCCACACTGCCTTGCACGTGCTTCCTTTTTCTCTTTACCTCTCATGGCTTCAAACAGGTTGGAAAGGGCCGGGGAGTAAATATGGTTGGACCTCATGTTTGGTCGAATGGAGAGTTTAAATGATACCTGCAAAAGCAGGGATGCCAGGTCCCAGGGTCTTCTGTCTGAGCAACTCAAGGGGCAGAGTTGGTGTTTCCTGAGGGTGGGGAGCAGGGTTGGGGCAACCTGGGTTGTGGGGGGCCCAGGTAGGGGGCAGAGGCCTGGGCTGCAGACCTGGACATGCTGGTCATTTGTGGACACTGGGTCAGTAATACTGGACCACTACTTCTGGGGGTATAGGCTTAGGCCGCTCTAAGCCCCTGACCATGTTTTCACCACAGTCAGACATGTGGTCCTACATGCGTTTCTGTTTAAAGATGTTGAAGGTAGATGGTTGATTCATTAACACTGAACTCATGGCCGGCAGCTCTCAATCTCATGTGTGAGCTAATCTCAGCAGACACACACATTCTCCAAGGGCCGCCTCACAGCATGGGACACTACACAGTGCTTCGGCCCCACACTGTGGGCTGCTGTAAACTGTGACGTCACCCACACAAAGCACAAACGTTGGAAATAGGGTCTTTTTGCACGAAGTAGACTACAAAAAGGACGCATGTTTAAAGTCTGAGAGCCGAAGCCAGAAGACTCTATGGCACTGAGTAGCCTCAGCTGGGAGGATACATCAGATTTCCAACCCTCTGTTCACACATGTGGTTCCTTTGACACCCTTGAGTAATGATTTGAGTTTACAGATAAATCTTAAGGAGTAGGCAAATTGGCAAATACATACTGTTCTCCAGATAATGGACTGCCTATATTTTAGACTTCATGGGCTAAGAGGCAAAATCAAATCTATTACACCAATATTTATATTACAAAAGAAAAATAAGTTGGCATAAAATTTTAGTGGTGGGATCTAAAATACGATACTACTAACGCAGTACTACATTTTGTTACACAGTTTTCTAATAATAAGAATAGAATCCTATTATAGGTTAACTTTTGCTAACTTGGGGTTCAAAGTTAGTGTTTCCCTTCTTGATGGCAAAAACTATTATATCTGCAAAATTCTGCCCTCACAGCCAGATTCGCCTTCACCTTGGTTGAGATGTTGAGTGAGCCAGTGTAGGAATCTCTAGCTGAGCTCTTTTGGTTGTTCCCAGGCCTCTGGCAGAGAAGAAAGTGGGCGTGAAGAGGCAGAAGAAGATGAGCAGTGCCCTCCTGAACCTGTCCCGGAGCGTTCAGGAGCTGACTGAAGAGAACCAGAGCTTGAAGGAGGACCTGGACCGTGTGCTCAGCAACTCCCCAACCATCACCAGAGTGAAGGGTATCTTCCACAGAAAAACTACGCAGGGAAGGCACAGGATGGCTGCCCCAGGGGAGTCCTGGGCAGGCCCTATAAGCCAGTGCAGTGGGTGTATCAGCTGTGTCAGCTGCGCTTCCTCCCTGCACTTGCAAAGCCTTGAGTTCCTGTGCTTCACAGCCAACTGTCCCGCTAGGCAACATTCCACTAGTAGTGACTCCAGAGTGTAGCTGGCACTGCTGCCTGTAGATTGGCTCTAGGCCCTGAAACTGTATAGCAAGGGGTGAAAATTCTGATATGCCTGGGAGGTACTGCTGTAGGGTGGGAAGAGACAGTTAGCAAGTCCCCCAGGGAAAGGTGGGTAAGGGCAGATGGCAGTGGGGTTCTGCCACGGACAGGGCTGGGGGAGGCCTCCTCAAGTCATTGGCAGCTGGCCATGACCTGCAAGAGGCGATGGCCAGCCTGCTGGCACCTGGGGCCATTGGGGCACCAGCAAGTGTAGAAGCCCAGAGCAGAGGCCAGTGTGGCTCCTCAGGTCAGCCCTGGGAGCGGTACTGGTTGGGGGACAGCTGAGCAGGGCCCAGGCTCCATTGGGAACCCCATGGGCAGCAAGGGAGCACTATTGTGATGAGGGTGAGGATGGGAGAGGAGGTTAGGTTCTGATGCAACTAGAAGGCAGAATCTATGGGAAAACAGAGATGGTGTGTAGCCTGCAAAAGCACGGGCCTCAGGTGCCAGCATCTTCTGTCTGAGCAACTCAGAGGACAGAGTTGGCATTTCCTGAGGGTGAGGAGGAGGGACAGGGTGGCCTGGACAAGTGGAGGGGTAGGCAGGAAGGGGCCTGGGCTGCAGAGCTGAGGACATGAGCACAGTGAGGCTGTGGGGTGCTGTGTGACCGGGTAGAAGAGGGAGAGTGCAAACCAGGGGTATCTAGAAGGTTGAAAGGTAAGGGCGAGCCCATTAAGCAGAGTGGGCAGTGGCCAGTGAGGGGATGTGAGAGTCAGGCAGAGGCTGGGACCAAAACACATAAACAGACTGTGGGCTTAGCCAGTTGAAAAAGTCACCTGTGATATTGATAGCAGTAGAATAATGTTCTCTTGGGGTTAAAACCTGATTGGAGTAGAATCAGGAAAGAGTGTTACCCTGAGACATTAGCATCAGTACCTTCACAGCCAAAGAGAATAGAAAAATCACCCAGTGCTGCAGAAACCTCTTGGGTGTCAAGTGTCTGCCCAGCATGGCCTCATGGCTTCGCTGACAGCCTGGGCGAGGGAATGCCATCAGGTCGGTCCTGAGAAGGGTGGTCTGGGCCACAGGGTGCCCTCCAGATGGGCACTCTGCAGACTTGTTGCTTCCCTTAGGTTACGTGGACTGGAGCAAGCCTCGGCTACTGAGACGCATTGCAGAGCTAGAAAAGGTGAGTGGATGTCTGCATCACCTGTCACTCAGGACTTACCTGTCTGATCTGGTTGGGGACACACTCAAAGTGACATGAGCACACTGAACAGATGGACATCTGTCCAGAAGATGACACAAAGTGCACCCCTAGAAGAGTAAGCTCCTTCCAGGTCTGGACAAGACCCAGGGGGTGTGCTGTTCTTGACTCCTACTTTATGGACAGCCAGGTCTTAGTCACACAGTACACTCGTGGGGCTTCTGCGTGTGTCTGTAGGTGGCTGTGCATGACCCTGAGTGTTCCACCGCCCAGACTCCGCACTAGACCCCTGCCCACTCATGTAATGTGGAGTTCACAGGAAGCTGTCCTCCCACGCTCTGCTGACCTGAGCATTTGGGGAGTTAGCGTTTCCTTTCACCCCTGGGTGGAACGGGACCTCTGGTCTTGCTGGAACTGGTCCTACTGGAACTGGTCCTTCCTGTTGGAACTAGACTGGCTCTCTTAGCAAAGCAGAGCAAGCATTGAGGGAAGGTATTTTAAATAAGTTCACTTATTTACAAAGTAGAAAACAAAAGAGGCTTCTGTACACAGTGGATATTTAACAAGCAAAGCTTGCTGGGTGCTACAGGGAGCCAGAGCAAGACGTCCCCTGAGAGAGCTGCTGCAGCCCGTCATTTTGCTGGCAGAAAGGGAACAGTTTAAGGTAGAAAGTGTGAAGGTTGGAAATTTCAGAAGCTCTGGGGAACTGAGGGCAAATAAGCACACAGATCCACAGTGCGCACATCCACCTGGCCCTGCACCTTTCTGCTGTGTTGGTGGCTCCTCTGCCCTGCCCTGTCCCCTTGGCCTGGGTCTCACTCTCCCACTTCCAATTCCACACTTCTGGGACTTGTGCCTGTGCAGTGGACTGTGCCAGGCAACTTGGGCCATATGGCAAAGCTGTTCCCAAGGCTGGAGACTAGTTTTCCATGGTCTCTGTTCTGGGTTTCACAAGTGGAATGTGGAAACAAGAATAATATCTAACAAATGCCTGTGTTGCCTCCAGAAACTAAATTCGATGGAGAGCTCAAAACCGCCTGCCTCAGAGCTGGTCAAGTCGAATCCCAATGGCACGGCACCCAAGCAGCTGGGATGGGACGGGCAGGAGGAGCAGGAGCACCTTCGGGGGACGGTGAAGAGCCTGAGGGGAGAGCGGAATGAGCTACAGGCCCAGCTGCTAGAAAAAGAGTAGGTGCCTAGGTGCTGCTGTGTCCAAGGCTGAACTTCTGTTCTGGATGTGAGGAAGTGCTCTATGCATAGCAATTATTGCATAAATGCTGTATAGGACTCTGTGAGATGTGATTGAAAAATAGTGTGTGTTTAAAAAACATTTTTTAAATATAATATCATAAAAGACACATTGCCGTGAATCCACCTCTCCCTGTCTTTAAATACATCTCTCCCATCATTCTTGCAACGATTCTGGGAGTCCGCTTTTTGTATCTTTAGTCGTGGCTGCCTTGGTGTCTGGAATTGATTCCAGATGTGCACCTTTTCATCATTTTGACTTTGGCAAAGTCACACAGTACCAGGTCTGGTGAATAAGGTAGAGGAGGTAGGCTGGGGATATAGCTCAGTGGTACAAGCGCCTGTCTGGCAAGCACAAGGTCCTAAGTTCAATTCTTGGTACAAAAAAAAAAAAAAAATAAGGTAAAGGAGGGTGCACTGTCATTTTTATGAGACTGCCTTTCCTTTGGATGGCACTCGGCAGCAGTTTGACCACATTTTTGATCCCACCTATTAAAGACGCTCATGAAAGAAGCAACTGCTTCAGAAAGAACAATGGAATAAATGTGTTCAAAGCAAGGAGGAGGACTTTGAGGGGGATTCATAGCAGTGTGTCTTTTCCTGTAACAAATAATTTTAGAATTTAAGCATTCACTATATTTTTTATTGCTTTCCATACACTTGTTAGATTTACGTTGTGGAATAAAAGCTGCAGTAGTAGTGAAAAGAAGACAGCAAGTGGCCATATTCCATCATTAAAAGAGAGGGGTAGGTGGGAGAGCACCACGAAAATCTCTACACAGAGTTCCAGAGGAATTTCCAGATTGTTTCCTAAGGGGGAGGAGTTCCTGCCTTGAATTTGTCTAAAATCAGTTAGGTCTTAGGCAGAGTGGTCCTGACATTCAGTAATGTATTTATGGCATATGATCTATACATTACATGAGACATAAACGATGTGAAATGCTTAGCATGACCTGGAGCTGGAGGCAGAGCCTCACCGCGTGATCTGTAGTTTCGTGATCTGTTACCAACTCAGCACAGGATCTGACTCCTGCTTGCATGTGGCTTCTCCTGTCACAGCTCTGTCGTAAGCTAACCCACCCATCTTCTGGGACGGTGTTTAATCTCAGGTCTGCAAGACCATGGTGACTTTGCCACTCAGAGGGGTCTGCACAGGCAGGAGCACCAGCCCACCCAGGAGCTGATGGGATGGGGGACTGCAGGTGCTGGCAGAGCTCCTGACTGAATTGCCTCCTGCGTCCCATGTCCCTAGCCGATGTGCATGCACATGGGTGTCTGAGGGCTCCTGGCTGCCTCCTAGCCCACGGCATTCTCTGGGGCCTGTGTGCCCAGCAGAAGCAAGTCCCTTCACTCTATTGTCCCCAACCTGCAGTGACAGTTCCCAGTGTAGTCATGTGAACTGATAGGTTCTTTGTGAAACTATTTCATGGAGTTTTTAAAATCAAGATAGTCATTTTGAAACATAAACAACTCCTGGGATTATCTATTAAGCTATCACATGACCTAATAGCTACAACATATGGAGTGCTTGCTGTGTGGTAGGCGCTCTTCTACTCATTTGGAGAAATATCTAGTTTCCTGTGGACATTAGTAGGGCCTGGAAAAGTTGGGCCACTTAGACTGTAGGCAGCAGCTCTGCATTTGTGGGCCACTATGCCATCGTGACACATGAGGACTCAGCAGGAGCTGCCTGGGCAGCCCTCCTATGCTCAGGATCAGCACTGGCAGCACCCCAGCCTGTGCTGCAGTAGTGATGTATCACTGACACTGTCATGGTGTCACTGCTGTTCACATCTTTCCCCACAACTATGAGGCCACAGGGTGAGACCTTGCTGCTTTTATACCCTAGCCCTGACAGGCCTTCATACACAGTGGTGTTTGTGTGCTGTCAGGACCTGGGGCTGCTTGAGCAACTTGCTAATCCCCTGTCCACTGTCCTGAGGAAAGAAGTCAACGGCTGTTGTGTTCTGAAGTGTCTTCCTGCCCTGACAGTCTCTGGTTCTAATGGTGCGGAAATGTCTGATTCTGTTCATTCAGCAAGGAAGTGAGGCAGCTGCTACAGGCCAAGAGCGAGCTGGAGAAGGAGCTGGAGAGTGCAAGGGAAGGTCAGAAGCATCAGCTGGAACGAGAGCAGGCCTTGAAGTAAGTATCAAACAGCAGAGAAGCCACACAACACAAACCCTCCCTGCCTCCAGGCCACCTTCCCCACAGGTCCCAGCATAGCTTCAAGAGAGGGTTTGGTAAAGACCACGGCTCTTCCTGAGATCTTTCAGTGTGTTCTTCTGCCTCTGGGATATAAACCCAAGACCTGCTAGAAGGCTCTTTGGTATAAGCCAGTGTTTGCCTCCGTGGCAAACCATGGTGAACACCTCCACTGCATCTGCCCAGGGATCCCACTCCACTGTGCCCTCCCCTCGGCAGCGTCTGAGCACCATGACTTCACACTCCACTCCTTTGTGACAGCAACGGTCACCAGAGCCAGGAAGGGCAGCACTCCCTGTGTCCCTCCCTAGAGAATGGATGAGCAGCCTGGGGTCACCCACACAAAAAACAAGGAAGCCAACGCTGATGCACTGTGCTCGGGGAAAGAGGCCAGGCAGGCCTCAGAGCCTGAGCCATGTGCAGGACATGTGCAGAGCAGAGAGATCCAAGGGCTGGCGGTGAGGAAGAGGGGCGCTAGGGGTGTTCAGGGATTCCCATCATTGTGAATATGCTAAAGATGCCTAATTATACATTTTTAAATAGTAGTTTTGTTTTTGTCTTTTTGTGGTATTAAGGATCAAACCCAGGGCCTTGTGCATGTTAGAGAAATGCTTTATCCCTGAACCACACCCCCAGTTTAAGATAATGATTTTATGTTGTGAATTTTACATAAAATCTGAGCAGACATATTTAGCACTCAAAACAATCAGTAAGATACAGATGACTGGAATGAAGAGAAAACATTTTATTTTCATTTCTGGAGATGACTAAATTGTGTCAGAGGCTAGAATTAAAGTAAATCAGAAATGTTTGGGAACAAATGGTTTTTACATTGGAATCCTTGGTAAGGCCACATATTGCAATTCCCTCCATTCCCCATGGAGGGCTGGTTCCATTGGGGGCGTGTACCTAGCAGGCCAAGGGCCTGGGTTCCATCCTAGCGGCAGAAAACCCCCACCTGATATCACCATCATTTGTGCATTGGCTTTTTTGTTTGGCTTTTCACAGTGCTAGGAATCAAACCCAAGACCTTGCTCATGCTATATACAGGGACTATTTTTTCGGGCTCTGACATGTCCAGCACAGTGTTGCTCTGCGATCCTCAGCACCCCCTCTCTGGGGCACATTACAGAGCACCGTCCTGCAGCAGGTTACTGGTACCTCTACCAGGGAGGTGGCCCCCTCTGCAGCCTATCCAGCGTCTGTCTGTACGGGGTTGTCAACCAGGTGTGATCTGACATCTGTATGAATGAAAGCAAGTAACTTAGCTACTTAAGTCTTATGGCCACTGTTTGCTCCAAGAGGGCTGTCACTTGAGCGTGCTGTAAGTGAAACCAGTAAGGCCTGCATGGTGGCCAGTAAGGCCACCATGCAGTGGCCATTCCTCACCTGGTGACAAGCAAGGTGTCATCTTTCCCTTTCCCATTTTAGAGAAGAAATCCAAACACTTATCAGCAAGTGCCAAGAGCTAGAAGAATCCAAGAAAGAAGAGAAACGTGCAGGCCGTCGTCCCCTAGAGATGATACATGAGGTATGTGTGGCCGTGCTGCCTCCTCTCCTGTCTGTTATGGTGCCCTTCCTGACCCGAAGGTGACAGCCTAATCTCCTGTCATCGTCGTGGTTCATGTCTGTGACTCAGGTGGGATATGTGGAAGTCTGGAGCTATCGACTGGCTTACTAGGTGGTGTCAGGACATCTTCCCTACACTCTCTGCCTTGGAGGTCGGGGGACCAGTGGAAAAGGAGTGGAAACCCACAGAGGCACCACACCCTTGCTGGGTGGATGGGTGCTCCTGGGTGGAGCAAGGTGGTCTCCTCCAGGCTTGTCCACAAGCTATAGACTGTGTGGTATAGAGGGACTGTTTGGTTAGTACCTGGCAGCTGCCCCTCCTCTCCTCTGTGTAGGTGGAGGCCACAGGAGGCAGCTGCCACTGAGATGTGAGGCCTGTGGTTGTGAGGGTCACTTAGCCGTTCTCTGTCCCAGGAGTCCCTGATGAACCAGTGTTGCCTGCACTTGGACTTCTGTTCAGTGTCTCCTCGCTAACCTCTCTTCTAACGAATGGACTCTTCAGATGGCAGGTGTGATCTGACATCTGTATGAATGAAAGCAAGTAACTTAGCTACTTAAGTCTTATGGCCACTGTTTGCTCCAAGAGGGCTGTCACTTGAGCGTGCTGTAAGTGAAACCAGTAAGGCCTGCACCCATGACTTGGTGACTGGCCCTTTTAGCGGCTCTTGTGGCTCCTTCCTCAGGGCCTCTTCCTGCCACCCATGGTCTGAGCAAACCTGGACTAAGCCCAGCATGTGATGTGTTGCTTCAGAAGGACCTGGCATTCAGCAGCAGGGGAGGACAAATGAGGTTACCCTTGGCCTCCAGAAAATAGGCCCATGGGCTGTGGGGCGAAGTTCCCTGCCAGAGCTGTTCTTAACAGGGTTTTGTTTTAAATCTGGACTGCCTTCTTCTTCAAAGGCTGGCTTAATTAGCTAGATCCTAATTTCAAGATCTCTTCGTTTGCACAAGAGAAGAAGGAAAACCAGAGGTTAGGGAATCTGGAAAAGCTGGTCTCACAGTTTGAGTTTCAAATTGAAACAGACCGTAGCACTGTGGACTTGGGGAAGCCCGTGGTCTTTGTGTGTGCACCAGTGACACCCGTGTGCCTGGCTGGCAGGTGTGAGCGCCTCCCTCTCAGTCCCTTCTGAAAGGTGCCCTTGCTGCTCAGGGACTCATAGCTTCTGTACCGTCCCCAAGGGACTCCTATCTTCTGCACTTTCTGTAATGGTTTCTCCAGCATTTTGGAGAATGCTTTGAGTCAGAGGTCTCTGGCCCCTGGGCCTTTAGGAACTGGGCTGTATAGTGGGTGATGGGTGGCAGACTGACTGCAGAGCTAGTGAAGCTTCATTTCTATTTAAAACCTGAGCTCCGCCTTCCATCAAATCAGGGGCAGTATTAGATTCTCAGAGGAGCAACAACCCTATTGTTAACTGCAAGGCATCTAGGTCCTGTGCTCCTTATGAGGAAAGTGTGCAGTAATAAGAGAAATAAAGTGCACAGTGAGTGTAATGTGCTTGAATCATCCCCAAACCACCCTCCAAACTCTACGCCTTCCATGGAAAAATTGTCTTCCATGAAACCAATCCCTGCTGCCAAAATGGTTGGGGACCCCTTCTGTAAGTGATGCAGAGTCACCGTCCCTGCTCCAAGGAATTCGCCACTGTCTCTGTGACATCACTTTTCACCCTGCTCACCTGAGTGCACACATTGCTGCCCCAAGGACATAGCCAAGAGGACATCTCCTGGGCCATCGATCTCGCCCACCACTGTGCCTGTGGCATTGTGGGTGACAGGCAGGCTTAAGTGTCCCCCTGGATCCACATCATTTTCAGGGCATTAGTGAAAGATTTTTTTTTCCAAGTGGGCTGCTCACGGAGACTGGGACGTCCACAGGGCTTACTGACTTGTTGCCTGGCTGCTTCTGGAAATCCTGACCCTTATCTGGTGCTCAGCAATAAAGACACCTAGGAGTTTGTTTATTTTTAAAACTTTCCACTCAAAGTTATATCCTTAGAGGGGAAAACGTTTCCACACACATCAGAATGGAGAAGAAGGGCTTTGTCTCAGCGTCCGCCTGGCTGGTGAGGACTCCTGCCTGTCTTTGGCCCGTTCAAAGGGGTTTTGCAGACCCACAGAAGGAAAAGGGGAAGCAAATTTGTCCTGTTGTGTTACCATCTTGATGTGAAGACAGAAAAGATTGTTGTAGCACTGGCTTCCTCCCCATCCCCTGGTTGGATGCAGATGAGATGCAGAGATGACCCACGGAGTGGGTTGAGTGTCCCTGCTGATTCATGTGACCACCACGGGAGGGTCAGCTCATGCGTTGCTGGGTCACCTCCGTTCTTTGAGGGTCTTTACTGCAGTGTTGGCTGCTTTCGGTATGAATTTCAGTAATTTGGGGTTTAAATCTGCCAATTCAGGCCACGTCAGGAAGACCCCTAAGAGGTTGCTTTCTCCAGAAACTGTGTCCCTGAGCGATCACTCCTCTTCTCCTACTGAAGCCACAGGAGATTTTGCTCCATATTTTTATTTTGGCTTCTTCTTTATATAAGACCTTGGGATTTTGTGTTCCTGTACATGACAGGAGCACAGGCAGGGGCGGCAGACAGCACCTTGTACTCTGCAGAGTCTGTCACGGGAGTCTTGTCTGAGAAAGCTACAAACTCAGGAGCTATCATGGCGTGTGGCTCAGTGACATGTGGTGGTGACCCTGTCAGTGGAGTAGTGGACAGCTAGGGCTGCGGACAGTGATATGGAGAGGTAGAAATAATTCCCTCACCCACCCCAACATCAATTCCATTTTATTTTTTAAAAAATTAATACTTAGAAATATGTCTGAAGTTGACCGACCTTATGGCACAGTAGGGTATCTGACTCCAGATCAGAAACATATCTGAAAGTACTGCCAAAATACAGCTTTTCCCATATATATTAGGACCATAAGTACTTTTTTAACCTTCTTTCAATATTGTCTGAATTTTTCTCATAACAAGCATCTCCTTCCCATCTCTTAGTTCGATTTTTTTTTTCTTCTTATAAACATTGCCACTTGAGAGAAAAAGAAGAGTGAGGTGAAGTGGGAGTCCTCAGCGTTGTCCTGAGTGGGGGCAGCAGCTCTCCATGGTCACATGGGAATGAGTTGCTGTGGGTTGGAAGTTGTGTGAGGTCCTGTGTGAATTCGTGAAACCCTGTCTAAAGTCAAAAGAAAAAAGATTAAAAGGGCTGAGGGGTGTGGCTTGGTGGTAGAGTGATTGCCTAGCATGCCTTCTGTATCAAAGTTAGATGTTGTTTTAATTGTCTTCCAGCAGTTGTTGGAGTCAGTGCTCCTTTATCTTCTAAGCCGTCAGTTTTACCTTTTTTGGTCACAAAAGCATGGGTCTCATGTGACAGATTCTCATCTCACTTTAGTGGAATGAGGGTCTGAAAATATGTTACCCTTGAGGCACACAATGAGGCTCTTCAGGGATGATAAACTCGAGATGAGGTGGCTTCATGTCAGCATGTGGACACAGGTCACTTAGGGATCACTGGGAAGCTCAGATGACAGCCAGCCGTGCTGAGTGTACCCAGGGTGTGTCTGATCAGACAGGGTAAGGTCCACTTGCAGAGACACGAGTATCACAAGGGGCACATTCGTCCTCACACGCCCTCAGAAACAAGAGCAGGCCTGCCACTGGGGTGGGGAGAGCAAGGCCCAGGACTTCTACTGTGGACAGGACCAGGCGAAGCAGAGTATGTGGCTGAGCAGGCTACAGACTGACTGACCTGCACAGTTCTGCTGAGCGCTGGGTCAGAAACATGGCCATGGGTGATGGAGGGCAGGGCACACTCGCTTGGTGTGTGTGGATTACAGAGTTGCCGGATGGGGCAGAACTGGGCTTCGTATGATGTGTATGGAAGGCTTCTCACAGAGGCGGCCTTCTCACCTCTGAGAAGTAGGCAGCCCTGGGAGGGGCCTCTGTCTGGGGCCAGCAAAGGCCCAGATGTCAGAGCACCCTGGAGTGCAGGAAAAACTCGGTCTCTCACTGATTGACCCATTCTTCCAGTCACAGCTGCCCACCTGCGCCAGGCCTCTCGTGGTGTGGGCTGCTGCTTGTTCCACATCCCCACCGCAGCCTTTCTACAATGACGTGCATCCCTACTGAGCCTGCCAGGGGTTTCACTTTTATTGAAAAGTGTCCTTGTAGATAATAAATTTGGACTCATAAGTTGTAGAAATCAATGGCATTTCAGTGATCACAATATCAATTGCTGCTTTTTTCTACCTTACAAAGCAAGGTAGTGCTAGGCATGGTGGTGCACACCTGTAATCTCAGCATTTGGGAGGCTGAGGCAGGAGGATTGCCATGAGTTTGAAGCCAACATGGGCTACCTAGTGGATTCAAGGATAGCCTGAACTACGTAGTAAAACCTTGTCTCAAAAAAAAAAAAAAAAAAAAGACCAAGCTAATTTAGGCATGGTGCCACATGCCTGTAATTGCAGCTATTCAGGAGACTGAGACCAGAAGATCTAAAGTTCAAGGCCAGCCCAGGCAATTTGTGAGACCTTATCTAAACTAAAAATAAATAAATAAATAAATTTTTTAAAATGGTTGGGGGTGTGGTTTGGTGGTAGAGTAGTGCCTAGCATGCCTGAGGCCCTAGGTTCAATCCCTAATAGTGCATTTTAAAAAAAGCTTAGAAATATTTTGCCTTTAATCCTAGAAATCCCACTTTCATGATATAGTATTAAACTTCCAACAGGCCCAAGAAAAGACCATAGGACCACAGGCAAGTCCCGAGTGTCGTGTTGGGATGAGGGTGTGTGTGTGGCCCTGGAGTGGACACTGCAGGTCAGGAGATTGCTGCCAGTGCCAGGAGCGTCTGACCTGCTTATTGAGGCTTTAGCCAGATGGCACAGTGAACATGCAGGTGCAGACTGTACTACACTGTACTGACACTAGTCTTTCCCCCTCTCACATTTCCTGCAGGCTGGCAAAGCACCATGCATGTCCCCCCCAGGCAGCACAGCCTCACAGCGAGACTCTGATTCTGAGGAGGAGGGCACCTGCTGGCCTCCCTCTGGCACTGATGGGAGGAAAGAGGCGGCAGCCAGGACCCTGCAGGCCCGGTGGAAGGCCCGGGCACACACGGTGAGCTTCCCAAGGAGGCCAGCACCTGCAGTGGTCATGTGTCCATTGAGAAAGCGGTCAGCATCAGTGTGTCCATCACCTACATTGGCCTTCTGTGTGCCGGCTCCAAGCCCAGGCCACTGCTGCAGAGTATGCAGGCCACTGAGGCTGTGTGGCATGATCAGCGCTGATAGGGAAGCAAAGGAGAGAACAAAGGGGCCCCATGAGCCCGGGTAGATCGTAGAGAGGCTGACTGCAGCCCCGAGCACAGGTGTGCAGGAGTACTCAGGTTCCTTGCCACTGACAAGTGCAGGAAGTCTGAGTCACCCATGACCAGCCCTTTTCTGGGGCTCCCGGGAACAACCACTCACAAGAGGGACCCATCTCGTGGGAATGTGAAAGGTCCTCCTGACAGACCAATGTCTGTGACTCTGCACCGGGCCCCTTTGCAGTTGAGTGAGGTTACAGAACAGGGCTCCCTTTCTCAGCTCCTGCGGTGGCTCTCCTGTAGGGATGTGTGCTGCTGAGACTTTAGTTTTCAAAGGGCCACAGAGTCCTTAGATGAGCTGAATGCTTTGAAAAATGTACTAAGTATTTACATGGGCACCATCTTTTTCCCCTAGTTGAAAACAAAAGTGATGGCATTCTCTGCTTGTCTGCATTCTGGAAGAGCTCATCTCCAACAAGTTGCCCTGGTGGGAAGGGTGGGGGGAATCATTGCTTCTGACCCAGGCAGGCATGGTGGCACAGGTCTATAATCCCAGAACTGAGGGAGGCTGAGGCAGGGGGATATCAAGTTCAAGTTCTACCCAAGCAACGGAGCAGTTTAGCAAGACCCTATCTCAAAATAAAAAATAAAAAGGGCTGGGCATGTGGCTCACTGGTAAGTGCCCTTGGGTTTGATACCTAGTACTGCCCCCCCCATCATTGATTTTTCCCAGATTTTATTATGGAAAATTTTCAAAACTTACGGAAAAGTTAAAAGAATTTAATGTATTCAGCAATGTGTTCTACTTTCCATTACCTCAATTCAACATGGTACTTGTGTGTGTGTGTGTGTGTGTGTATATATATATATATATATATATATATATATATATATATATATATGCTTTTTCCCCCAGAAGCATTTGAAAGTAAACCTTAAGCATTACAAAACATCACCACATTCATTGAAGAAAAAGGACATTTCCTTGCTGAGATTGGATTAGAGTCCTCACCAGCAAAGCCTTGAGCTCTCTTAGTGTAGTTCCCACAGCCCCTGCCCTCTTCTTTTTAAAGACATTTTGCTTTTTGAAGCGAGTAGGCTGGCACTTTATAGGATATTCTTTACAAGATGTTTCCTTATGGTGTCATTTAACTTGCTTTTCTGTCCCTTCTATTTCCTGTAAATGAGAAAGTAGGTCTCTAGGTTTGACTCCGCTCAAGTCAAAGCTTTCTAGCATGAACACCTTGAAAGTGAGTCTGTGTGTATCACATGGCCTCTAGACACAAATGAGATCAGTACCCTAACACTCTGGGAGGCTGAAGGGTTGTATGTTCGAGCCCTACCTGAGTAACCTAGAAACTTAGGGAGACCTTGTCCCAATAAAGAAAGAAAGAAAGAAAGAAAGAAAGAAAGGTGCAGGGTTCAATCCTCAGTATCAAAAAACATGAGACCAGTAGTCCCACATGTGTTTCTAAGTGTCATTATGGGTGTAAGGTTGTGGCTGCTCACTCGCCTTCTCAAAGCATCAGTAACCTGCAGAAGTGGTTGTCCCTACCACCCCTCACCTGCCGGATCAGCATCCTAGCATGGCCTGACCTTGTCCTTACTCCAGATGCAGAAGGGCAGAAGGACGGCTTCTTCCCAGTTCCATCCTTCTACATAATAGGTCATTTCCTTTGTGAAACAGTTTTCTTATCAGTGGACATAAGGTCCAGGTCTGCCTTACGACACAGGGCAGTCCTTAGTTACTTCCCTTCAAGTACCAAGCAAACACTGGTCCAGAGTAAGGAATTGTTCTGAAAGTCGCTTCCAGCAGAGCAACTAACTCATATATTCACTCAGTCTCTCTGTCAACTCGGAAGGTTGCTATGGAATCAATATTTTTCAATTAGTCCTTATCCTTATTGTTCAGATGGTCCTGAATCTGGCCAGGGGAGCCCTCTGATCTGCCCCCTGTGTCTCTGTCTTGCTAAGTCCTTATTTTCTAGCACAAGAGAGTGAAGCAGCCCTGTGCCTCCCTCTCGCCAGCCCTAGTTCCTGCTGTTTCTGAGCCGTTGGGTCTATGAAGGAGCGACTTGACTGTCCACACTGTCTCCTGTTCCTGCTGGACAGGGGGCAAATTCAAGGAATGAAAACTGCTGTGAGGAACTCATCCCCCTTGTATTAACTCATTTTTTCTTTATTTCTTTATTTCAGAAAAAAAAGGCCGTCCTGGATGAGGTAAGCAAGGTTAATTTCACCAATTTCAAAATCTCTGTTTTGACTCTGGAGTAAAGAAATTGTTGGCACATTTAGAGACACATTATTAAGCCCTGACTTTCAAGAAATCAAAGCGAACCCCAACATTCAATTTAAAATGCATAAATAACAGAAACATCAAATAAATATTAGAATAATTTTGCACTTCCAACATTCATTTTATTTATTCTTTCAACACATGAGCACCCATGTCGGTTCTGTGCCAAGCAGTCTTAATTGGTGCAGGTAGAGCTCAGGTGGTGCTGGAGTAGAGCACCCAGGCTGGAGGGCAGGGTCCCTGTGAAGAGGACAACCCCCAGGAGGAGTGGCAGGCTGTGTAGCAGGGGTGAGGGCAGAGAGGGAGGTGAGCAGTGGCAGCTGGGGCATTGTGCGTGGCCGAGGCCGTACCCCTTTGTCAGTGAGGTGCGGAAAAACTAAAATCCACATCTTATTCCAGTCTTGGGGCCCTCTCCACTTTTTAAACACTTCTCTCACCCCCTCCCCCACCCCAGGCTGCAGTGCGTGTCCACTTGGCCACAGGGAGGACCAAAGTCTCTCACACTGGGTACCGACTTCCTCATGCCCAGGAGCCCCTCCCGCTCCGCACGCCAGCCTGCCCACTCTCCAACTCCCAGTGCTCTGCCTCAGTGGCTAAGAGGGGGCCTTACCCTCAGCTTGGGAGGCTCCCTTGCAGGCAGGCCCTGGGCAAGCAAATAAGGACAGCAGGACACGGTCTCAGACTTCATTGCACTGTCTTATAATAAAGCAGCATGGAACAGCATGGCCAGCGGGCTATGGGCTTTGGCAGTGCATATCCATGTCACAGATATGTGAGCTCCCTCTGCCAGCCAGTCCCACGACACCCCCTCAGCGTGGTCGCTACTTCCATTGTGCTTGTCCTCACTTCCAAGTCAGCAGCTACCTGAGCTCCCAATCCCTGGTTCCTGTATCAACCCCTTGCTGGCCACCCTTTGGTCACCCCTCATCCTTCCCCAGCTACAGTGGCCATTTCTGATACCACAGTCTGACCTTCCCTCCTCTTCCCCGTTGCTTCCCCTGGCCCCCAACCCTCACAGCTCCTAGGGTCTCTGACACCCTGGCTGGCCTGGCCCCATACCCTGCTGTGTCCCCCACGTGCCTCATTCCCACCCGACCCAATCCCGTCCTGCCTTCTCGGCCCTGCCCCACTGAATGTGACTTGAAAATTGTGCAACCCTGGACAAAGTGGCCTTCAGCACTGCCTGGGGCCCACTCACCAGTTCACCACCCAACTCAGAGACACAGCTATGCTGGACCTAACTCTCCTCCAGTCTTGGCCCCACCTCCACTGACCAGCTGGCTTCTTACTCCACTGAGGGACAGAGTGGTCAAGTGACCTCCAGCTCGAATAGGGAGTCAGCTCCCTCAAGACGGTCACAGTCAGAAACCGGACAGTAGCAGGCCCTGGTGTGGTATGGCAGAGTTGAGTCTGCTCGGGCAGCCATGTGAAACAGGCACTGCTGGGGGACACAGTGTGACCATTCCTCAGAAAGTTGGACCTAGGGTTGTCCTGCGGCCCTGCTGCTCCTCCCTACTGTGTGCACCCAGGGAGGCTGGGACAGTTGCTCAGAAGCTTGGCCCTGGAGAGTGGTCTGTCCGCCTGGTGGGATGCTACTCAGCTGTAAGGAGGAGGGAACATAGATGAACCTCAGAACATCGTGCCAAGTCAGCGAAGCCGGGCATAAGGCCACATACGTGTGGCCCTCTGATGTGATATGTCTGGGATAAGTAATGAAGGACACAGAGGTGGATCTATGGCTGGCACGAATGGAGACCGTGGGGGACAGTGAATGGTGGTCAGTGGTGCAGGGATTCTGGTTGGGGCGATGGAAAGATCTAGAATGATGTTGGCAACATCTGTACAGCACAGCGCATGGGATCAGGGCCACCAAACTACACTGGAAATTAAAGGGTAAGCTGGATGTGTACTTCGCCATACTTTTTCTTAAAAAACTTTAAAATATACGAGAGAGGGGCTGGGGATTTAGCTCAGCGGCAAAGCGCCTGCCTGGCAAGCACAAGGTCGTGAGTTCGGTTCCCGGTACCAGAGAAAAACCAAAAAAATAAATAAATAAATAAAATATACGAGAGAGAGAGAGAGAGAAAGAGAGAGAGAGAGAGAGAGAGAGAGAGAGAGACCTTCCTCACCATCCTTGTCGAGCAGCCAGGTGTCTGCTGTCCCTGTGCCTGTGGAGAACTCCCACCCCCTGGACCACACCCACTGTGCACAGTCACTCATGGATCGCTCTCCGTCACGTGTGTCCCAGAGCTTCTCCTCTGGACCATGGCCCCTGCAGTTGTGTCTCTGTTCTCGGTCCCCCAGCTTCTCCTCTGCAGTTCCTCACCTCCCTTCCTTGGGCCCACCCACCCCAGCAGTGACACCAGCTGTGTCGTCAGCCACCACATCCAGTGGCCTCTGCAGTCTGCCTCACAAGGAGTGTAGGACTGGGAGGAGAGCCCTGGTCCACCTTGGACACCTGCACTTGGGATTCCTGTCCGTGCTTCTTGTCTCAAGATCTCCACCTTCTCTGGAATGTCTGGCTGCCCCAGGACCCACCCCGGCACTCTACTTCAGTGGCCCCCAAGGGCAGAGGGCATCTTGCCATGGAGGATGAGATATGAGAGCAGTCCAGCCCTGAGCATAGCGCTGGCCTCTGCCGCTCCCCCAACTCCTGTTTCCTCATGCTGATTGTGTAAAATCGCCTCAGACCAAACACATCTAGAGTAGAAGTCTGTTTTTTTTTCAGGGTCTTGCTGGCCTTGAACTCATTATGTAGTCCAAATGGGCCTTGAACTCATGGCAGTCCTCCTGCCTCAGCCTCGCAAGTGCAAGGATCTCAGGTGTGCACCACCACACCCAGGTCCAGAAGTTGTTTTCCACCCCATACCTGCTCCTCAGAAGTGGTGTCTCCCATCAACCCCCTTACCCAGGACATGGTGTTGAAATCTCGCCTCCTCTTCCCCGACATCCTACCACCAGCCCAGCCAAACCTGTGAGCTGCCTTTGAAACATGCCCACAGTTCAGCCTCTTCAGGATCTGAGTTCCCCCTGACCCAGACCCCATCGCTTCCTGCCTAGACCATTACAGTAATCTGCTCACTTCCTCTTTGCCCTTCCCTCCCACCCCTGTGCAGCCAGCAGGAAGACATTTTAAACATTGGATACCACCACTTTGTAATGTCATCCTGTCATCCTGAGAACAAATCCAAAGTTGCTCCTACCCACCTGTGTGCTGGTTCCTGTACTGCCCTCCAGCCCTGGCATCTTTGTGACTCTCCCAGGGTGCTGGCGAGTCTGGTGCCTTCACTGGAATGTCCCCTCAGACCACCCTTCCGAGTGTCCCACGCCCTGGACTTGCTTCATAGCATATACAAATGACACTATTATTATGGGACTGCTGCCTCCCCCATGAAGATGTAGGTTCCCTGCAGGCCGGGACCGTCTCTCTTCCCCACTGCACTCCTAGTTCCTAGAATAGTGATTGGCCTATGGTGTGATTCAGTGTGTGGGTTCCCCACCCCCATACCAGGGATTTAACTCAGAGCCTTCATGATGAGCTACATCCCCAACCCTCTCTTTTTGTTTGTTATTTTGAGACCAGGTCTTGCTAAGTTGCTCAGGCTGAGCTGGAACTAGTGGCTCTCCTGCCTCAGCCTCCCTCAGTGCTGGAATTACAGGTGTGTGCCACCAGTATGCCTGGGCAGTGTTTTCTAATGAATAAGTGAGAGAACAGTTGCTGGGCAGTACAGGGCTGCTAGCTAACCAGACAGCGTATACTGTCCTCACAGCCTGCTTTTTCCTTCCTGATCCCCCTCCCTCAACACATTCTACTTCTCTGAAGTAAAAGTGATACTAAGGCCCCCTTCCTTCTTTCCTCCCTCCTTTCTATATTTCTTTCTTTCTCTCCTTTCCTTCTTTTTCTTTCACTTCTTTCCCTCCTTCCTTTTGAGACAGGGTCTTGCTAAATAGTTCAGACTACCTTGAACTCACTGTGTAATTCAGGGTGGCCTCAAACTCTTGGTCATCCTTCTGCCTCAGCCTCCCCAGAGCTGCGATTATAGGCTTGCGCCACCAGGCCTGACTAAGGCCCCCTTCATAGGGCTGCATCTGAGTGTACATTCAGACAGCCTTCTCTCCCCACCATGAAAGGTGCCGAGCCCCACCACAGATGCTTAAAGCCCAGCAAGCAGATTCTTGGGATGGAAACAAATCAGCTGCCAAACACGATCATGCCGCACTGCTAATATCAGCCCATACTTTACACATAGATGTGTTTTATGTTGGGTCGTTCATTCTGTTTCATCTACTTTCCACCATATGCATCTTCTGAAGTCATGAATGGTATAGCAAGATCTCTAGAGCAATCTAAGGGAATCATTTATCCTATGACCTTAATCATACATGCTTTTCTTAAGAAATGTGTGAGGATACTGCGTAGGGTCTGCAACTGATGCTCTGCAACCGGATGGAAGGGGCTTTCTCTGCCCACACAGTTTCCCCCGGACTCTCCCTCAGTCCGCCCAGCATCTTCCAGGGAAGTTAACAGTCATCTTCCTCTCCTTCCTTTCCTGCCAGGTGGCCGTCGTGCTCCAGGCAGCTTTCAGGGGACATCTAACGCGAGCCAAGCTGCTATCAAGCAAAGCACATGGTTCAGAACCGCCCAGCCAGCCAGGCTGTGCAGACCAGGTACCCACTTGGGGCTGCACACAGGCCTCGTCTGTGCTCCGTGGCTGCTTCTCTTAGCTTCGCCCAGCAGGAAAAGCTCAGGGCCCTCAGTCTTCCCACTTCTGCTGCAGAACTGGCTGGGCTTAGCCTCAGAGCCAGAATGCTTTGAGGTCTGGAGAGTCAAATAGCACATCTGTCTTACGGTGAAGACAAGCTAAAAGCAGATAAACATTGACATTGCCACATAGGTGCTGTCCTCAGAAAATCAGATGAGAGGGTAAAGACTCTCCAAAGAATGCCAGACGTGGTGGCTCCCACCTATAATCGCAGCACTCAAAGAGATTGAGGCAGGAAGAATGCATGTTTGAGTCCAGCCTGGGCAGTTTAGCAGTTTATTGAGATTCTCATCTCAAAAAGGGCTGGAGATGTAGCTCAGTTCAAAGGCCTTGAACAAAAAGCAAAAAACCTCTCCAGAGTTTAAAAACCAAGAGCCACCGGGAATGGTGTGCACACACCTATAATCCCAGGCCTCGGGAGCCTGAGACAGGGGGATTGTTGCAGGTTCAAGGCCAGCCTGGGCCGGGCCACACACTCAGTTCAAGGCCAACCTGAATTAAGACTAAATCTTGTCTCAAAAAAACAAAATATAAAACCTAAGAACCTACAGTCAGGAGGTTGCTAACTCCATGATAATAATGTGGTGCACCTGAAAGGCAGCTGCTGGTCCTGGCCCTTGATGGTCTGCAGGAGGCACATGGGGCCATAGGGTCCCCAGACAGTTCTCTCCCTTTGTCCTGCCTCCACAGAGCTCCCCAATGCCTCGTGTCCTAAGCCCCATCACCCAATGCGAGGGCAGCCCAGAGCAGGAAGAGGCCATCACTGTCGTCCAGTCTGTCCTCCGGGGACACCTGGCCAGGGCCAGGCACAGGTGAGTATCACGCTTACCTCTTGCCACTGTCTGCACTGTCTCAGTCTGCCTAGCAGGAAGTGGCGGTGACCTGTCCCGTTGTCTGTAGTTCTCTCTGAGGAGAGCCAGGCCAACTTGGAGCCCTAATCCTGACTCCACCTGACGTGGGATAGACATACAGCTGTGTGGGCAGTGACCATGTCCACAGGGAACCAGAGGTAGGGCACAGGAAGACAGCTAAGCCGCTCATAAAAACTTCATGACCCGACCACAGCATGTGCCCCAAAGGTGTGGACAGAGGACATTTCTGAGGCTCTTCAGGGCCCTCCTGCCTTGGGGCCCGAGGCTGATTAGTGACACTGCAGGCCTGCAGATTCTGTGCTCTGCCACCAGATGAGCTGAAGCTTTCTGTTTTCTAGCACCACCAGCAGAACCACTGGCACCAAGTCCTGGAGAGCAGCTGCAGCCACGCCACCCGAAACCTCCTCCCCACCCTGCCTCGCAGCTTCTGCCGGTAATTTCATGCACTTGATTTTCACACAAGGGGCAGCTGGCCCTCTTAATGGTTAAACCAAAAGCACACCCACCTTCCAGGCCAGTTGGGGCCCTGTAAGGATGCACGGTAGGTTTGTCTCACTGTCCCACTTTGTCCCACTTGCCCCCAAACCAAGCCGTACCAGAAAGACCCTCAGCCCAGCTTCCTTTCTTGGCACAGGGACTGGGGCTCCCTCAGCTTGCAGATAGCCCTGCCCAACCACAGTTCCCCACTAGCCACCCCGAGCTTCCTGGTTCCGTGTCGTTGTTTCTCCCAGCTTCACCCAGAGCTAGCAGATTCCCTCCTCTGACCCAGTGTTCCTCTGTTTAAGTAAAACATTGATTCTGTGCTTCCACAAAGCTGGAAAGCACTGACTGACTCGAAGCCTTGGGCCAGGGATGCAGCCCTGGCTGTGAGCGCTGGTCCTTGCCACACCTGCGGAAGGTGATCCTGCAGGCCGCCCTTCTCTGGTGTCTCCTCTCACTCAGAAGTTGCTTTTGGCCCCTGGTGAATGCGCTTCAGAGTCCTCCTGCCTCAAGCAGAAGACCCTGCAGCGGCCACTGCTGGTTGTGATGTCACCACAAAGCTAAGCCTGAGGCAGAATGCAGGTGGAGACTGGGGACAGTCATTAAAGAAATGCAGTCAAGGTTGACTTTTTTTTTTTTTTTTTTT